AGGCGGCGTCCGTCAGCCTCGCCGATGGCCGGTCTCCTCGCAGGCATCAAGGGCGGTGTCAAGCTCAACAAGTCTGGCGGTCCTCGCAAGTCTGTTGCTCCAGGCGGCGGTCCTGGTGCTCCTCCTCCCCCGCCACCTCCGTCATTCGTTCCGCGCGCCCCTGGTGCGCCGATTGGAACGCTCTTCCATGGCGTTAACGACAGCCGCAAGCAGGTGGCCATGATGGCATCAAAGAGGATGAAGCAGCTGCAGTGGGACAAGGTGTCTAAAGCTCAGCTCGACAAGACGATCTGGTCCGAGGCCGACAATCCCGAGGTCGAGGAGCAGGTTATGGACCGCATGAAGGCGGTCGACCTGTGGTCCGAGATCGATCAAGAGTTCAAGGCTCGCGAGATTATCCAGAACGCGGTCAAGAAAAAGAAGGAGAGCGAGCTGCAGTCGGTGCTCTCGCCCGACCTCCGCAAGCGTATAGAGATTCTCATGGCCGGCTCTACCGCCAAGTCGTACAAGGAGCCCGAGAGGCTGTCCGATGCCATCTCCGAGTTCAACTCGGAGCTCTGCACGGAGACCTTCCTTGCAGAGCTCCAGGGTGTGCTGCCGAACGACGACGAGCGCGGCAAGCTCCTCACGCATGTCGCCGACTCGCCCGCCGAGCTCGAGCTGCTGCACCCCGCCGACCGACTCATGGTCCGTCTCATCCAGCTACCCCACCTTGCCGACCGCGTCCGCGGAATGCTCTTCCAGGTCCGCTTCGCTCAGAACATCGAGCTCCTGCAGAATGTGAGTTACAGGGACCTTCGAATGCTAACTCCCAGTCTCTCGACCTGCTCACCGTCGCGTGCGAGGACTTGCGCCACGCCAAGAAGTTCCAGCAGCTGCTCAACGTTATTCTCACGATGGGCAACTACCTCAACGGAACCAACTTCGCCGGTGGTGCCTACGGTTTCAAGATCGGCTCGATCAACAAGCTCGTGGATACCAAGTCGTCGAACGGCCAGAACCTGCTTCACTTCCTGGAGAGGACTGTGTCATCGCACTTCCCCGAGCTGCAAGGCTTCCTCGACGAGCTCACCAAGCCCTCCGAGGCCAACCGTGTCAGCTTCTCCGATATGCAGTCGACTTCGAAGCAGATGCTCGACGAGATCCGCAAGATCAGGCGCTCGCTCGAGGAGAACTTCCAGGACGCCAGCGACGGCTACACCCGCAAGATGTTCCGCTTCGGTGCTGCCGCCGAGGAGGACCTGCAGACGCTCCGCGACGGCATTCTCAACGCCGAGAAGGGCCTCCGCGACGTCGAGACCTACTACGGCGAAGGCGAGGAGCACGGCCGGCCGCTGCAGAGCCAGGACTTCTTCGGAATCTTCCGCACGTTCACGTCGTCGTACAAGTTCTACCAGCAGCAGAACCGTGCGCGTGCCGAAGAGCAGGCTCTGCGCGAGAAGCGTGCCGCCGCCCGCGCCGCCCTCACTCCTCAGGCAACAGGATCCTCGCACAAGGAGGCCGAGACGAACCTCATCGACTCGCGCCTGCAGCGCCTCAAGCTCGAGGGCACGCCGCGTATCCGCCGTGAGAAGCGCTCTGCCGCCCCGCCGTCACCGTTACCCGCCGCCGCGGACTTCAGCGACTTACTGCTCCCGTCGGTCGACGCTGAGAATGTCGACTACGGCAGCCTGGCGCAGAAGATGATGATGAACATGCTCGACGACCCGACACAGCTCCCCGAGACGCCCGAGCCGACGATCACCCGACGAGGACACTCGCGCACCGCGTCCGGAAGCAGCATCGCCGAAAGCCCCACAAAAGCCACCTTCTCCACCGACCCGGTGTACCTCCTGAACGAGGCGACGGTAGACGAGGAGCCGGAGAACGAGCGACGCGCCGAGGTCGAGCACGAGCAAGACCTTGCGCGCGAGTCGCCGGCGCTCAAGGACGACGACGACGAGAAGAGCGTCTACAGCACGCATTCGCGCCAGCCGTCGTTCGCGTCGCAGCACTCGCGCAAGTCGTCTGTGGCCTCCATCACCTCAGTGCATAGTAGGCACACGTCGATCACGTCGCTGAACTCGCTGTCCAAGTCGGTCCGCGGTCCGCCCAGCCGAACGAGCCAGGCCGGCACGCCTTCCTTCGGCGATGACTTCCGAACGAGCACCCCACTCAGCGCGCAGTTCACGGGCACGCGGTCTGACACACCTGCCGGGTCGAACACCGAGGACGTGGTCGCTGTCGACCTGAACTCGCCGCCGGCTAGCCCGCCGCCGCCTGTAGCCGATGAACCGGAGAAGAAGGCAACTCTCGCCCCGCCGACGCCAGAGGACGACCCGAACGACGACTCGTACAACTTTTCCCTGGGCTCGGACACGATCGTGTTGAGCATGCCCGACGATGTTGATCTCTAGTATCATAACAAAGTATACCCCGCATAATCACAGCGTACCACCGTGACCCCATCGCCAACGAGAGACGAACTTCCCCTGTCAAAACAGTGTATATATATTTACAGCCCATAATATTACCCCGCATCATACTCGTCTTGAGCACAGCATATGCATGGTTTGAGCAGACAGCGGAAAAGTCCCAATAATGCATACAGGTGGCGCTACTCTGATCTAACTCGGCAGCTGGTCTTACTTCTCCAGCTCGACGTCGGCGACAAACACGCCATTGCGCGCCTTGACAGTGACCCAGCGGCCGAGGCGGGGCTCGCGTCCAACAGCAGCCACGAGCCGGATACCCTTGGGGGTATTGAGGATCTGGATGGCGTTCACGAACCCCTTGACATTGACGCTGCCGGCCTCCTCGAAACGCTTGAGCTCGCTGTCAATCTTCCAGAACTTGATCTCGCCGTCCCAGCTTCCGGATGCGAAAAGGTTACTTCCCCGCAAATGAGCGAGAGCAGTGATCCAGCGCGGCTTCGGCCCCGTCTCGGACGGGAGGAGGTTGTGCCCCTCGCTGTCGGTGCCATGGGCGAGGACGTGGGTGAAGAGAGGCTTCTTCTTGCCCGTGCTCCAGAGCGCGATGCTGCCAGTATCCCCGCCGGACACGAAGTGAGAGTCGTCGAGCATCGTCACGACATCGACGGATCCCTCGACCCACTCGCCCTCGGGCGTACGCGTCTTGCCGCCCGCACGGAGGACGAGCTGCACCTCCTCCTCGACCTTCCAGAAACGGCAGGTCCGGTCCCGGCTTCCTGCCGTCACGCACGTCGTCGGCTTCAGCGCCGAGACGCTCGGGATCGAGTCCTGGTGTCCATAGAAGGTCTCCAGTGGCGAGAGCGTCGAGAGCGAGTGCAGTGCCAGGTGGCGCGAGAGAGAGGCAGAGAGGAGGTGGTATGTCGGGTTGTTCAGCGGCGGGAGCGCTAGCGACTGCAATGTCAGTTTCGGAACCAGAGAGCGAAACTCACAGTAACGGCGTCCTTGTGTCCCCGCATGCCTGTCGTCCACTCCGGCTCGGGGCCGCTCACGTCCCACACGCCAATGACCCGGTCCTGTCCTCCGGTCACAAGCCACTTGCCGTCCTCGCTCGCGGCCATGCACAGCACGGGGCCCTGATGTCCTCCCTCCGTCGAGTGCAGCGGCGCATTCTTCAATCCCGGGTCGAGACGCTGCACGCCGCCCTTTGTCGACACGTAGATCGCCTCGACGCCCGTCACCTTGCCGTCGCTGCTGGATTTCGGCTTGGAGAGCACCATGCCCACGCCCGTTGGGACGGCGCCCAGCGCCTTGAACCGCGGGTTCGAGGCCGAGGCGGACGAGTAGAACATGTGGATGCGGCCCTCGGCTTCGTCCACCTCCTGCTTGAGTCGGGACGCGATCAGCTCACGGTCAATGTCGGCCGCATCGTAGTCATCCTCTTCCCGCGCTGTCTGTTAGCTCTATCCTTGCAGGCCGACAGCTACACCCTCCATCCCGACTCACCCTGCTGCACGTCCCGGGCCACCTTGTCGAGATACCCCCTCGCGAGACGGACACGCTTCTCGGCCGCCGTCTCGTTGGCATCGACAAACTCATCATCGGACATAATGTGCGGCGCGCGGTCCTTCTGGAAGTCCATGTCGTCGATGTCGAGCTCGTCGCCAGTGTCGCTCAGGTCCTCGTCTTCCTTCTGCTGCTTCCGTCCCCGTCCGCGAGAGGGCATGTCGTCCCTCGGCCCGCCGCGCGACGGGCCGCCACCGCCGCCACCGTTGCGGCTACGTTTCCGCTTCTTGTCCGACTTGAAGAAGGCGTCGGGCATGGTTGTGTGTTTAGCAGTGTAATATTGATGCTACCCGCAATCGGTGTCTTCAGCAGTGAGCAGCAACTTCTGAACTTTTGAGCCGGTCGCCACTGGAGCACGTGGCTTACAGGCGCGCCAGGTGCCAAATTAGTCCCGCGATCGAATCCACACCTATCCCCATGACGATGCGGTGAATATAGGCGCGCGCGCGACGCCCAATGACGGTGTGGTGACGGGCGCGTGGAACCTCCACGCCAATGCACACGGGGTGGCCTCCACGCCCCGGCCCAGCGCGCAGCTGCAAGCGGCAGCATCACTAGTCGTTCGTCTCGCGTCCATCGAACTCGCCTTCCCCTTCCCTCATCGCACATCACTCACTCACACCGTCCGGACAGCCATGAAGCTCAAGGACATCTCGCGCACGGCGACGTTCGCGTGGGACCCGTCCAGCGCCGCGGCCCCGCTCCTCGTCACTGGCGACGCGGCCGGCGCACTCGACGAGAGCTTCTCCAACGAGAGCCACCTCGAGATCTGGGCGCCCAAGCTCTACGACCCCGATAACGCTCAGGGCTATGCGCTCGGCGGAAAGGACCAGCCAGGGCCAAAGGGAAAGGTCACCGTCAGCTCGCGGTAGGTCTGGCAACAACAAGCATGGCACTGACAGCAGCTTCAACCGTCTCGCTTGGAGCCAGCCCGATGTCGCGCCCTCTGGACGCGGACTCATCGCCGCTGGCATGGAGACGGGCGAGGTCGCCGTGTACGATCCCGTCAAGATCCTCGACGGCTCGGACGCGCTCTTCTACTCGAACCAGAAGCACACTGGCCCCGTCGGCGGCCTCAACTTCAACCCGATCCAGAAGAATCTGTTGCTGTCCGGCGCTATCAATGGCGAGGTGAGCACGCATGTGGGCGCAGGCCATTGACATTCCGCAGCTCTACATCCACGACATGAACAACCCCAAGAACGACCCCATTCTCCCCGGCCCCGTGTCTAACAAGCTCACGGAGATCACCTCGCTCCAGTGGAACACGACCGTGTCGCGTGTGTTCGCGGCGTCGTCTTCTTCGGGCTACACCTCGGTCTGGGACCTCAAGGCCGGCAAAGAGATTGTCTCGCTGCAGTACGGTGGTGGTGCCGCCCGCGGCGATCTCGCCAGCGGCATGGCCAGCCTCCAGATCGGCAAGCGCCGTGGTATGAGCGATGTCGCTTGGCACCCCGAGCAGGCGACCCGCCTCGCGACCGCGTCCGAGGACGACGAGTCGCCCATCATCATGCTCTGGGACCTCCGCAACACCCGCGCCCCCGAGCGTATCCTCAGCGGACACACCAAGGGCGTTCTCTCGCTTTCGTGGTGCAAGCAGGACTCGGAGCTCCTCGCCTCGTGCGGCAAGGACAACCGCACCCTCATCTGGAACCCAACCACGGGCGACATTGTCGGCGAGATGCCGCGCACCGTCGACTGGGCCTTCCAGACCGCCTGGTTCCCCTCCAACCCCAACCTCATCGCGACTGCCTCCTTCGACGGGCACATCACCATCGACTCGCTCCAGTCCACCAACCCCGAGGCGGAGGAGGCGACCCCTATCGCTCAGGACGCGTCGGCCGAGGATGTCTTCGGTGCCCTCGGTGCTGCCGGCCCCAACGAGGATAGGAACAACGTCCAGTCGCTCACGCAGGCTCCCAAGTGGATGAAGCGCCCTGTCTCGGCTACCTTCGGCTACGGTGGTCTGCTCGCGACCGTGTCTAACCTCCCGGGTGCCAACGGCAAGAACCAGAGCTCGGTCGTCCACCTCCGCCAGATCACGACTGAGGAGACGATCGTCGAGCGTGCCAAGCAGCTGAGCGACATTGCCGCCGACAAGGAGAAACTTAAGGAGTTCTCCAGCGGAAAGGAGGAGGCGGCCTGGAAGGCGATCAACACCCTCTTCCATGGCAACTCGCGTGACGAGCTCGTCGCCCTCCTCGGCTTCTCCAAGGAGGACGTCGCGAAGCACGTCCAGGAGGCGATCGCCAAGATCTCCCCTGCTGAGGCTGCTGAGATCGCCAAGGAGAAGGAACAGGTCAAGCAGGAGGCCGAGACCAAGGAGAAGATTGAGAACGAGGAGGCGACCCCCAAGTCTGACACGACTCCCAAGTCGTCCGCTGCCTCGCCCCAGAAGTCGGCGGCCAGCGAGCTCTTCGAGGACCGCTCCGGCACTCCCGCCACCGCTGGCGGAGACACCGACTTCTTCGCCTCGATGGCTTCGGGCTCGCTTCGCAACCCCCGTCTCGACAATGTGATCCCCCACATGCCCCAGGACGCCTCGGTTGCGGCTACCATCGGCTCGGGCTCCAGCGTCCGCTCCGAGTCGCTCATTAAGGACAACAACTTCCACATCTACCCCACTGGCGAGTCGGAGACTGACCGTCTCATCACCCAGGCGCTCGTTCTTGGCGATTTCACCTCGGCCGTCGACCTCTGCATGGCCTCTGAGCGTTACGCCGACGCTCTTCTCCTTGCTGTTCGCGGTGGCCCCGAGCTCCTCGCGCAGACCCAGAAGGCGTACTTCCGCCGCTGCACCGAGACGCACCCCTTCTTACGCGTGTACCAGTCGATTGTCACCGAGGACCTCGCCGACATTGTCCAGAACGCGGACCTCGCCGAGTGGCGTGTCATCTTTGTCGTCCTCTGCACCTTTGCCAAAGACCAGGACTTTGGCAACCTCGCTGATCAGCTCGGCCAGCGTCTCCAGTTCAAGTGGCAGCTTCTGGCCGCTTCGGACGCCCCCGAGTCCAAGGCCAAGGCCAAGGAGGCACGCACCGACGCTACCCTCTGTTACCTCGCTGCCCGCAACCTCGAGCACGTCGTCAACATCTGGATCAGCGAGATGCAGGAGGACGAGGCGCAGTCGTCCGGCCCCCGCTACACGGCCCACGCCAACGCCTTGCAGTCGTTCATCGAGAAGGTCACTGTGTTCCAGGCCGCCACTGGTTACGTTGACAAGGACCTGACGACCACGACTGCGCCCGACACTGAGGCTGCGCGCACCTACGCTCTCTCGGGTCTCTACGACCGCCTGTACGAGTACGCTGATCTGCTCGCCACCCAGGGTCTCGTTGACGCTGCTGCCAAGTACGTCCAGATGACCCCCAAGGGCTACAGCCGCAGCCAGGGTGGTGCCCAGCTCGACCACGCCCGTGACCGTCTCTTCGAGGCTGCCGGCGTCCAGGAGGCTGGCCCCTCAAAGGCTGCGTCCTCCTCGGCGTTCGGTGGCAAGAAGTCCGCTTCGGCCACTGCCTCGTCGAGCCGCTACCCTGCCGCGTCGTCCGGCTACGGTGCTTCGCCCTACGGTGCCAGCGCTGGTCCTTACGGCGCTCAGTCTTCGTTCCAGCAGACCTCGAACCCGTACGGTGCTCCCAGCAACGCGTACAGCGCTCAGACTCAGTCTGGACCGTACGGCGCCGCTCAGCCGCAGACCCAGTCGAGCCCTTACGCGCCCCCACCGTCTCAGCACCAGCCCCAGCAGTCGCAGCAGCAGCAGTCGAACCCGTACGCGCCTCCGCCGTCTCAGCAGCAGCAGTCTCAGTCGAGCCCCTACACGCCCACTGGACAGCAGCAGTCGAGTCTGTACAACCCGTACGGCGGCAGCTCGAACGGCTACGGTGCTCCCTCGCAGTCGCAGTACGGTGCTACTTCCCAGTTCCAGCCCGCGTACGGTAACAACACTGTCCCGCCTCCGCCACCAAAGGCTGGCCAGAGTGCCAACGCGCGGTCGCAGACGCCCTCTGAGCCTGTCGTGCCTGCGTCGCAGCGCCGCGACATGCCCGGATGGAACGATGCGCCGTCGATGGGCATCAAGCGCCCGAGCAGCTCTGCCCGCAACACGCCCAAGGCCGCGCCCATTACCTCGCCCTTCCCCATGGCCGAGGGTGCTCCCAACCCGTATGCTGCGCCCCCGTCCGCCGGAGCTGCTCCTCCTCCCCCTGGCCCCCCTCGTGGCGGCAATGCTCCCGGCATCCTCCCGCCTCCTCCCAAGGGCGGTCCTCGTCCTCCCTCCGCCTCTGCCAACCGAGCGTCTGCTTCTCCTCAGCCGCGGGTCATGTCTCCCCCGATCGCTCAGCCGTTTGGCCAGACCCCATCCCCGAACCCTTACGCGGCGCAGCCCCAGCCTCCCTCAAACCCTTACGCGGCTCAGTCTCAGCCTCCCTCAAACCCCTACGCTGCTCCTCCCCAGCACCAGCAGTTCGGTGGTCCCCCTCCCCCCGGCGCCCCCGGGCAGGCCCCCCTCCTCCTCGCGGTGGACCTCCTCCCCCTGGTGTCGTTGCCGGACCACCGCCTCAGCGTGCCATGTCTCCGCTCGGCCCCAACGCCGGCCGCCCGCAACAGCACCTCGGAGGCCTTGCTTCGCCTCCCGCCCACAACGCTCACCTTGCCGGCCCGCCGCCTCCCGGTGTCCGTGCTGGACCCCCTCCCCCCGGACGGGCGGGCACGGCCTCTCCGGCTCAGAACAGTGCGCCCTCGCCTGCGCCCGCCGCGCCCCCTGCGGCGCCGAAACACCCGGCCGGAGACAGGTCGCACCTGACGGATTCCGGTCGTCCGATTTACGAGGGGCTTAACAGCGAGCTGCAGCGCATCAAGTCGGGCTCACCCCCGGCGCACCTGAAACGCATCGTCGACGACACGGAACGCAGGCTCAACATCCTGTTTGACGACCTCAACAACGACACGGTTGCGCCTGCCACGGTCGAGAAGCTGAGCGAGATTGTCCAGGGTGAGTTAGCTTCCATACGCCACGAACTGACGAAACAGCCATCAATGCCCACGACGCCAACACGGCCCTCGCCATCCACGTCGACCTCCTCACGACCGCCTCGGGCGACACGACCCATTGGGCCCCCGGCGTCAAGCAGCTGATCCGTCTCGGCATCTAACTTGTCTTGTGAATGCGGTAGACCTGGTAGCTTCTGAGAATGCAAAAAGAGACTTGAAGACTTAGATTATGTGAGAGAACATATGTGGTGTTAGTTGCATGAATTGTCTATAGGGGACTAGATGATGAGTGTAAGGGGGGTTGCGCTACGAGGGATGTGGGTATGGGGCTGCGCTGTGTGGGATGAGGGTATAGGGTTGCGCTGTATGTATGTGTGGTGAGATGCGTGAATGCGATGGGTGTCGAGTGTCATGTATGTGGTGCGGGTAGTAGCTACAGGGAGATGTTATACAGTCGGGTCGTAGACGTACGGGACGACATCCAGTGCCTCGCCGTACGACGGAGGGGGGACGAGCCAGCCGTCCTCTGATCCCTCCTCGGTGCCCCAGATGAGGATGGGCGAGGGCTCATGCTCGTGCTCGCCGTCGCCCACGAGATGGAGGGAGCCGTTTCCAGCCCTTCGCCTCGTGGGGGTTTGTTCGTGTGCGTGTTGATGGTTATGTGTTGTTAATGTGGGAGAGGATTGGGAGGTCGGGGGAAAGTAAAGCTCGGACCACTCGTACTGCCGGACGGCATCGCGGGGCTCGCCGACGCTGCCAATCACGACGGGGACAAAGATATGCTTGCTCCCCGTGCCGAACTCGAACTGCACGCAGAGCCTGTACTCGCACTTGACTTTCAGGCCAGCGTTACTGGATACGGATGTCCAGAGGTACTCGTCGTCGTCCTCTTCCATCTTATCGGCGGGTCCGACCTGATACTACTCGGGCGCGAGCTGCGCGCCGCGCAAGTCGAGTGGGACGAAGGCGCGTGCCTCCCCTCCGGAGGGACGGAGCAGGCGGCGTGTGAGCGCGACCGTCGTCCAGTTGTTCTGCGAGCTGGACCCGGGACCTACGCGCGTCATGACCATCTCTTCGCGGACGAGCGAGAGCGTCAGTGCTATGGCGTGGTACGTCGGCGGGCAGACGAGACGCAACGAGACGGGAATCACTGATGTCGGGCCGAATGTCGTCGTGGGGAGTGAGAGGTGCGCTGTCCAAGGATCCGTCGCGAGGCTGCGTGGTCGTGCAATCCAGAAAGTGTAAGGAAACAACAGCGGCGCAGGCTCCGGTAGGGTTGCGGGTAGGATCTCGACCGCATGCTCCGCCACAAGGCACCCCGAGAGATCGAGATCGCCTGTTGGACGCCACGAGCTGCCAGCCGGACACAGCACGAGACGGAAGCGATAGCTCACCTCCCACAAAGCGTTCACGCTCGGCGGGAGTACGCTTTGCCGGGGGATCTGCACGTGGACCGATTGCGACCATCGCCCCGGAGCGATGATGTCGGCGTCGTAAGTCGAGGCTGGTGGCGTTGAGGCGTCATCGCCGCCCTCACGCCTCCAGGCATTGCAAGGCAAGTCCGTCACAATGTTCACTACCACGCGGGTCGTGTGCGGAGTCCGTAACGTGCCGATCAGGTTCAGCTTGAGAGGTCCCACTCGCCGCGGCTGGCCAAGCTCCAGGCCGAGCTGGAATGGAATTGTCACTCCGGGCTTTGAGGTCAGTACACCGATCTGGCACGAAATGGGGCTCGCTTCGAAGGAATGGTGGGTGGATCATCACCACGCATTGCAGCGCGGAATTGGCACCACTCATTCTGATCACAGGGAAGGTCAAGGTAATAACTACCCTCCGATCCCATTCTTCCTGGGTCGATGAACCCACCACAGAACGGCATGGCAGGAAGCAGGTCACGGCTACGACGCTCGTACCAAAATTCGGCCGCCACCATGTCTTCTCCCTTGAACTCTAATCGACTCACGTAGAATGCCGGCGGAATGTCGACTTCGCCGGATTGCAGGCTGAGTCGGAGCACTCCTGGATGCCGTTGAATGCCTGGCGGTGGGCCAATCCTGAATGGCCTCAGATCGATCCCCGGCGAAGACGGCCCTGCACTGTTGTTGCTCGAGGTAGGCGGGCATGGCGACTTGAGCGCTGGTGGCATGACGTCTCGCTCGAAGTACTCAGTCATGTCGGGTTGCAGAGGAGTGGGAAGAAGGCACGAACTCTGGATCGGTCGCGGCGTACGGGTTGGGTCTGCGAAGTCTGCGAAGAGGTGCCCGCCGCCTGCATGGCGGGGCGGAGCTGGAAGGGCGACCGTCATGGTGGATACCCAGCGCGGTGTGTATAAGGCGAGGCGAGCGTCTCAGTCACGTCAAGAGATGGGGGGTTCGAAGTCTGAGGCGACAGCGGCGATGGCCAGAGTGATGACGGACGGTCAAGTTTTGTTGTCTTGGATCGCAAGAGACAGGTTGGGAAGGGCGCTAGGTACCGACTGTTATCGGGGGCTCGGTGTGCAATGTGTATATATGATCGCTGCTGAGATCTTTGGGCGGCCTTCGGGGGGACACGCTTGTCAGCGAGGCGCGGAGCCAAGCCTTAAGGATGGCAGAACAACAAGGCGGGTGCGGGCAAGACTTGAGTAAGGGGTGAGGAAGGGTGGCCTGGCCTGGCGTGCATGGAACCAAAGATATAGGTGGACCTGGGTTGACCTGGATGGCCCCAGCCGTGGCGTGGTCGCAGCGACAGCCGCAGGCGCTCGCAGGCGGCTGATACAAGTGAGACCAAGAGCGGTTGGTAAGGGACGGTGCGGGGTGGCTTGATGGTGAGGGACGCCGAAAGGTGCTAAGGCTTAGTAGACTGCCGTTCAGACTATGCCCGGCCCCTCCGGACGGAGTTACCGACAAGACGAGACACACACAAGCATGTTGGAGCATCGTAGCGTGTGTATGTTCTATTTATTCAAGCTGCATTTGAGACCTTGCATTCAGACAGTGGGACACTCAATTCAGGTGACACGCGCATGAATGAACAGAATGACGAAGGTTGGAAACATATGCGAGCGGTAAACCTGTCTCAATATCTTGTCTTAGGACAGTCGCTGGTTCCATTTCCTGTCTGCCCGAGACAGGGACTGGTTCCAAAAGTCCTTGATCCAGGTCAACCCCTTAGTGTCGCTCCTTTGTTCCAACAGGTATCGACGAGACTTTGGGGAACCTTCTGTGGCCGAAATACGCTCCTGTCGGTCTCCGGCAACGGGCGCTAGCGCCAGAGCCAACGACGGCAAATCGCTGGAATTCATATAGTGTGGCGCCGCCTCTTCAGGCTCTCGGGTCTACACTCTCAGCCCCGGCTTAGACCCCCAAGGCGGACCCTTGGAAGTCTCATGCGCTGTCGGGGGCACGATGCGCGATATCCGACGAGTCCAATGTTTGACGCGTTGAACGAAACCCTGTATGGAGAATGCTCCGAAGCCACCAGGCCTCGCCATGCGCGCCTTGCGGCGCAATGCGCAGCCACCACCACCGCAGTTTCACTCACCCACTCTCCAAAATCCTTTGCCGGAAATGCATTGTTCCGCGCGGACTTCCCACGTTGACCGTCTCTTGCTGACATAAAAACACTCGACATAAGGAGCCGCGATCATGAACTCGATTACTCCTCGATTACCCCTGGTTAAATGCATCAGTGACGTTGCGTCCGGCATTGTCAACGTCAGTGCCGATCGGCCAGTAGGTCTGCCTGGACACGGCGCATGGCACGCGACAGCCTGTTACCGGCAAATCGCCATCGCCAGAGACGCGGCTGTTAAGAAGACTCGGCGCATGGATGCCGACACAGCTTGCTTACCTCTTCACGCGAGTGATGACCTGAGGCACTGCGACCCCAGGGTCTGAACCGAGCCGATCCAGTCAGAACTAGATAAGCCACATGACAATCTGTGTTGTGCTGGTTTCACCATCGTCTCGAGCGCGGTGCAGCGTGAATTCGGAACGAGTACACCATTAGCCGCTATCATCGTCATATCTCATTGTTAGTATCTGTTCAGTGAAGATATAACCGTCTGTAAGCGATCCGGCCGTCGATGTCCGTGTCCGCCGATGCCGAGCTCGTTGCGATGACGTCTTGGCACCGTCTCGCTGCACTATGAAGCCAGTGGACACCGAGGTGGGTCAGAGCGGCTAGCTTCTGCCCATCATGCGCTGCACCGCCGCCAGTCACCCCTACAGCGCGACCGTCTCGGCGATGACTAGGCTGCGGGGATCACAGACTAGACAAGATCAGGATCCTTGTTCGTGGATGCTGCGGGACATCGCAGTCTAGATTTCCGATGGGCGGCGCAGTGAGATGAAGCGTCGACACATACGCCATTGTCGTCGCCCCACGGCTCTGGGCGCAAACAATGGCCGTGGCGCAGAGCGGCAAAACGTTCAGATGTCGTTACTTGAAAAGAGAACTGCTGGTGCTCGGCGGTCGGGGAAAGTGAATTGACTAGTGCTGAACCGAAGGGGAAGCAATGGTGACAATGCGGAGAGGAGAAGATCAGGTTGCTGTCAGTAGTAGTAGCTCGCATAAGACGAATGGCACCGGCAGGAACGCCGCCAACCTGATTCCGTAACCAGGCCAATGGTTCAGGGTCCTCTACACGTGGTTATTCCTCGGATGCAACGGCGATAGTATCGTTATCAGCTCTAATCTTCCGTGGTACGTCATAGACCCTTCGTCCTTTTTCACACTAAGTGGAATGAAGCAGTCATACGTCCTGGGAGAAGGAAATGCTTTCGCAGCTAGTAGGATCTCTGCACCGCCGCCGGCCGCCCCCGCACAAGTTCAGCCTCCAACTATGACCGTAAGCCACTCAGTATATCACTACTGTCAAAACATAGCAAAGAGAATGGGGCCAGGAGAAACTACCCTTCCTGTACAGCTATACACTTGCCAATCAACTAATCTCAGGGCTTGTGGCATCAAAGCCTATATGCTAGAGCGAATTGTGCTTGCCATCGTGCGGTCCAGAGCAGGCTTGCGCCATAGATCTGTCTCACCGTCGCTGGCGCATGACGAAGCGACACGGTTCTGAGGCTAATCGCTTTGGTAGTGTCGTATGTAGCATTGCATCGCGGTGCAGCTACCATGCAGTGGGCGCTTAGTACGCATAGGTTTGAACTAGTCGCGATGCCTCGCTCTGTGTTTAGCGTCCTCCTCCTTCTTCGCGATCTCGCGTGCTTTAGCTCGAGGATCGATGACCTGACTGTCAGCCCAAATGTGGTTGTGCAACTTACAGTGTACTCCTCCTCAGCGCGCCGCGTCTCGTCAGACTTCTCTTCCTCAAACTTGAGGGCATGCCGCATCCAACCGACGTCGTCGACCTCTAGCCCGTCGTCATCTCGCTCCTTGCCGGCTCCATCGTCATCTCCCATGGCCAGGACCTTTTGGCTAAACTTGCCAAGATCGCGGAGAAGATCCTCGTCGTCCCCGCGACGGCCCTTCGCACTGTGCCGCGTCGCAGCACGCCCTCGCCCCCTCTTGTATTTAGCCATCTCCTCCTCCAGATACACAGCGCCCTTCCTGCGTCTCCTGTACTTGTCGTCGTCGTCCGAGTCAGATTCAGAGTCCTCTCCTATCCGCTTCTTCAGCGCACGGAGGTCCTCTTGCATTCGTTCAAGGTCAGCCTTGCGGGACGAACCCTCGCCAGCCTTTTGCTTCTCGTGCTCTTCTCGGATAGCTTTCAGGTCAACGGCCTTCCGCTTCTCTGGTCGTTCCTCCTTGTGCCCACTGCTGTCCTCGATCTTCTTCCGCTTCTCGCGAGGCTTGTCATCGTCCACAGTGCTTGTCGCAACAACTTCGAAGTCAGCTGGGAACCGCCTGTTCTAACGCACGATCCTTTCGGCCCATGTCCTTCTTCTTGACGATCACTGTCCCCTCATCCTCCTCTTCAGCCTCGCCGAAGGACAGCAACTTTGTGTTCTTCTTGGCCTTGGCGCGTTTCTCCCTCCGCTCGGCCTCCTTTTTCGCCTCGAGGCGAGCCTGCATCTGCTCGCGCCGCTCAGCCGCGGTTATGCGGGGCACAATGTCATCGAACGGGTTCTCGATGATTCGTATTCCCTTGATTTTGGGAGGGCTGGAGAAGTCAGTACGGCGTCTTTCACACGAGAACCTACACTTTGGGCTTCTCGTCCTCGTCGACATCAAGGTTTCCGATGTTGAGCACATCTGAAGTGAGCCGGTGCATTGTCTCGCAAATGCTCACTGTAGTAGGTCGGTCCTTGAACGCGCCCGAAGAGCGTGTGCTTTCCGTTCAGCTCGTCCGCGCGATCGAGAGTGATGAACCACTGCGAGTTGTTCGCATTTCGCTTGCCAGGATTGGCCATTCCTACTAGTCCTCGACGATTAAACCTCAGGCGGCTGTGAACTTCATCCTTGAAAGGCTCGTCGTAGATACTCTGCCCGCCCATACCCGTTCCCGTGGCTGATGTCGTGAGCTTTATAATCCAAACGTTCCGGGTACTGACCATCACCAGTTTGAATGATAAAATTTTTGACTATGCGGTGGAAGATGACATTGTCATAGTAGCCTGAGAGGTCAGCGAGGCGCAGAGGCGTGGTTAGGGAACGGACCTTCCATCGTCAACTGGAGGAAGTTGCGGACGGCGAGTGGGCACTCCTTGCCCCATAGCTCGATCTGCTGTTAGCTCTTATAGTTACAGGACCTTCATCCCAGTTAGGCTGCAGCGTCGACGGCGCTGGGGGCTCGTGTCAGGCGTTACTCACCTCGATCTCGCCCGCAGTGGTATCGACGATGACCTTGCCATTGGGCACCGGCTGCATGTCAGCTGTGAATCGGGAGCAGCCGTCTGGCGTGCAGGTTGTGCTTACGCACCTCAGTCGCGTAGCTGGGACTGTCAGCAATGCTCTCAGCACGGACACTCACAGATTCGACATGGCTCGTAGCGAAAGTTGACCGAGATAATGAGTTGACATCACAATAACAACGATCGAAACGCGGGGAGCCACTCCGGCGGCGTTTGCGGAGATTACCACGTGACGCACCAGTATGCCGTCACAGGTCGCTAGGGGCCGTGCTTGGGTGTTGCGTCGTGTCGTGTCGGCGTCTTGGAGGATCGAGGTGGACCATTCGTTCTGACAGCCTTGCTCGCACATATCAACGCACGTCGGCCACGCGCAATTCAACGCGACTGATCCGCCGGGTCGAAAACCTCGGCGACTGGACCCTCCTCGACGTCGATTCCGTCCCAGTAACCTTCTCCAGCTTCCGCATTCTGCACCTTCCTTCCATCGGCCACCATGTCTGAAGGCCTCACGCGCCGACGCGGTGCAGGGGCCTCGTCGTCTAACAACGCTGGCGGATCGTCAGCAGGCGTCTCTCCCGCCCCTTCATCCAGCGCTCAGCGCAGCAGTTCGTTCGGTGGCGGTTCGGCGGTCGAGGGTCGGCCGAGAGTCGCATACGACCCTCGAGACTTCAGCGATGACAACGAGACGAAGAAGGTGCCCCGCCTGACTCTGATGGAGGAGGTCCTCCTGCTGGGCCTGAAGGACAAGGCTGTACGTCTGCCCCTCTTACTCATTAGCTTGCTGACCCTTGCAAGGGATACCTCTCGTTCTGGAACGACAATATCTCGTATGCCCTTCGTGGCTGTATCCTTATCGAGTTGGCGTTACGGAGAAGGATCGCTGTGGTTCGAGACCCGTCGCGTCGTCGGCTGGCACTCGCAGACCGCCTGATCGAGGTTATTGACGATCGCCAAACTGGAGAGACCATCCTTGACGAGGCTCTGAAGATGATTAAGAGCAGCGAGAAGTATGGTGCCGGGGCTTGGGTGGACCTGATGAGCGGTAGGTGTGCTTCGTCGATGCCCGAGCTGACAGATCCAGGTGAGACATGGAACGTGATGAAGATTGGATACCAGCTCAAGCAAGTTCGTGAGCGATTGGCGAAGGGTCTCGTCGATAAGGGTGTGCTTCGGACAGAGAAGCGAAACTTCCTGCTCTTCGATATGGCGACCCATCCTATTGCCGACATGAACGCCAAGGACGACGTTCTCCGGAGGTGCCTCACGCTTCTGACGGCTCGCACTGCTGCTGTTCCTCCCCAAGCTCTTCACAAGGAGGGAATCCAGTACCGGTACATGCGCGCCGTGTGTCTCGTTTGTGCTGGTGAGCATTCAGGATCACACCTCCGAACTAACGTTAGCCTACGCCTCAAGTGTACTCGAGAATGCGCTTCAGCGTCTTTCCTACGACTCGCGCGAGGCGGCTTTCATGCGATGCGACGAGATCCTCGCCGAGTTCTCGACCTGGCCCTTCGGCATCGGGACATCGAACTCATCCGGTCCCGTCAACATTGGGGGAGGATCAAAACGCCGCGACGGCGGTAGTGGCATCGGTCGCGAAAGTGTCCAGGAGCTCGTCCGGGAAGTGCGCAAGGAGATGGCGAGCGACGCCCGGGGTGCCGGCTCGGGCGGAGATGAGCCGGAAGACCTTTGCTTCGAGGTCGTCGCCACCGTGCTCGAGATTTTCAGTCGCATGGACAGCCTCGTAAGTCTCATTGTATCCCAGCTTGTCGTACCTCACGGTTCGAGTTTGCTACGTGGTGCCAGTTGGTCTGACGGACGACCAATCTTATCAGTCGTTCCAGACTATAGCCACGAACCTACGGCCAAGTCACATGTGAGCTCAGTCGCTAACATCGTTTCAGCTGTAATCGTGTTCATGTCGAGGCATGCGAATAGACGAGCGAGGCAGTGTCGACGCTGCCTTGCCAGAGATAGCCGGGTTATAGATTTTTCTCTTCTTTTTATGTGAGTAGTAGTAAAGGTAGCATATGGATACGACAATGAACCGAATGATAAACGGCATGTATGGCTTACGCGCGTGCCAGGAAAACGCGTCCACGACCACGCGACATCTTAGACGTGCTGGCGCGATCGTCTGGTAGCTCGTCCTTGTGGCGGCACCATAACCGTCAGTCTGTCGCGCTGACACGTCATGGTTTGACGCACAAATACTCACCGCTGATCATTCTCACTGACGTAGGGTCTTGAACTCTTGACTCCACTACCCACTTGGCATAGAACTTTGTTGGAGAAATATCTCCTAGAACAACACAGGTTGCGGAACGCTGTGCAGGGAGCTCCTAATCTAACCAGTTTTGGGCTGGTTACTGCGCAACTGGAGTTCGCGTAGACTTGACGAGAGACGATGGAGCGAAAGGACACCACTGATACCCTCACAACCAGGGCTAGCGAGCGTGGCACTGCGATCACGAGTCGCCACGACACCACGAACAGAGAACAGCTTGCACCAGAGGCTGGTCGTGAGGCTGGGCAGGCATAGCCGTGTACGGAGATCTGAGCTAACTCGGTGCGGTGAAGTCATGCCGTTGCAGCAACGAGCAGCGGTGGCAAAGACGTCATTGGCGAAACAAGGTTTAACCACAACCGGCATGGCCTGCTACCACTGTGGCCTTGCTGAAGCTCTTGTCCCGCCTCCTGGTTGACTCAGACGTGGTACTCGACGCCCATCACGCGCTTGCCGTCGGCGCCATCGGCGCATGACACGATCTGACACGACCTAACGTGACCCTTTCCATCTTCCCCACCTGCCCGTTGTCCCTACCGCGTTCTCTCGCTTCAGGCTTCTGCAGGTACGCTGCCGGCGCACAGCCGTTCACCGCCTCCAGACACTGTCAGTTACGCTCAGTTACAGTTGCAGATAGAGATCCGGCGTGCGTGAGCAGTTCCAGGAGTGGGCCAGTGGGCCGAGTGGGCCTCCTTCCCGGGGTGGGTGTACGCGTGTGTGGTGGCCCAGTGGGGGCGACGCGAGCGCGCGACCAGCTGGGAGCGCGTTCTAGCGAGCCGAACTCGCGAGATCGAAGTGCTTGAGAACGCGACGGCACCCCGTGCCAGGCTCACAGAAGCAGGGCATACATAATCCAGTGAGCCTCGTGGTGCTCGTGGCGGTGCTTGGGATGGCATAAGGTTCTAGTTTCGGTACCAAGGGCCACCTCCAAGGTCCCCACCAGGTCCTAGCTGGACATCAGGTCACTCCTAGGTCCCATCTAGGTCCGCCAGGCCCTGGGGCACCCGTGGCACCCGTAAGTGGCCCGGTGCGGGTCGACATGTCGTGCACGAGGTCCGAGTCGGTACAAGGTTCAGTCAGGCCCGCCTGTGGAACTCGTTTGGGAAGCAACACGTTATTGCACCGGAGCTCGGTCCTGACGGTCCCTCGCTGTCCCTCGGCCTCGCAGTCGAGGTCGACGCAGACGCGAGAACCGCCGCCCCAACGATCTGTGCAACTATGGACCGCCGCGCGAACAAGCGCGAGTAGGACGAAACAGACTCTAAGAGTTCTGAGAGCTTGAAGCACCGACCGGTCCCAGCGAAATCATAAAGCTTTCTCTCACCGCCCGGCCGGTGCGCAGTAGCCAGTGGCCAGTGGGATGCCCACCTCGCTGTCAGAACCTCCGGACCAGTGCTGCTGTTTCCCATACGCATTGCAGGTCCCAGGATTCCAATCCGGATCGACCCGGAATTAGCGTGAATGGAAGCGCACGTACGCGTGCAATCCCTTGGCCCGAGGCTTCGTACGCCGACGCGCAGAGCCCGATGGCGGCATGAACGTCAGCGGCGTGAGAACGCACCGGGGTTGCTGGATTGCAAGCGCTTGCAGACGTCGTGAGCCCCGTAACTGCAGTGAATTCAATACAGGACCCACGATAACTAACCCAACTGCCAATACTACGACCACGTTTGAGCTGAACGGTTCCTGCGCCTCAAACCCAACCCAAACTGGACAGCGTACCAGTGCAAGATAGCGTTTCTGAATCGCCATGCTCACAGTTGACTCTGATTGTACCTGGTCACAAGCGCAGAATTGGAATGCGTAGCTGCGTGCTTCTTGTTCAACAACATCAAACGGCGGCGCCAAGACGGCCTCCCCCGATACGACGTGACATGCCCCGGAACCGACATCACGGACGAACCCGAACATGTGCTGCACACACTTGCATAAGCATCCCTTGCGGAAATAGAGCCATGAGCAAGCCTTACTTCACTCACTCGGGGTGACAAGCTTATGTAGCATACAGGGTGCAGACTGACGCTGAGATTCAATTACGGCCTCTGTCTCGAACTGGCCCGCCGCTAACGGCAGCGCGCTATGTGGGATTTGCACGTTTCAGTGGGTGATAACCACGGTCGGCAGGAGTTCATTAGAGTTGGGACGCCTGTACGAGAGCACTTACAGCATGGACTGACTTAGACGAGAAGCGACGGCGGGTCGCGTTGCCTGCATCTGGTAATTGTTATCGTCGGTGGTAAATAAACGAAATTGCCGAATCGACACGTCCGCTGCAACAGAGTGAACTATGCTGGTCCCACTGTGTTACGCCTCTTCGTCATACGCTTGCTTGCTGCAGGCGTACGGCATGCACTCGGTGTGTGAGAGAGAAGTGTGTTGGTCGTTGCTGCGACCGACAAATGTCCTGAATTCAACCTGGAGCTCCTCGTCGTCGACAGTGGCCTGCTGAGGCAGTCTGATCTCATCTGACGTGTTCGGTGTGATGGGACCGATGGGTTCAAGCGCGGATGCGAGTGAGGAATGGATGGCGACTACAATCCATCGCCTGAGGCTAATCCTAGTCGGTAGCAAAGCGATGGGATCAGACCTCTGCATGTCGACACGCCAAGGCTGACCATTCGCGATGCGTACGGTGCGCAGAGCTCTCTGCACTGGCTCCTGGCTTTACGCTTTCTCGTTCCTGCTCGACGCAATTTCGTGCCCCTTCGTGCCCAGTCGGTCCTCAGCTGACTGTCGATGCCTCAGCCGGTGGGCTCGCGATCGACTGAGTCGCCCCGTTGCTCGCTTCAAGTGACCTAGCGTGTCTCACAGTCTATTGTCCATGACGATTAAGGCCTGCCTCGTCACGACGATGGCCGATGACGGACTATGGCCTGAATCGCATCCGGACGTCCAAATCTTTAGCCCCGGTACGCCACTGCGGCGAGCTAGCCAGGTGGGCAGCACTAGTGCTCGACAACACCGAGCAAGCAGCCACTGATACCTGTGCACCTGACTTCCGGTATAGAGCGTTCAATGGGTGGCTCATCACGTACGTTTCAGGTAGCGTCATCGCATGACCGGCCGCTGGAAAAGGGTTGGAAGGGTTCCAGGATGCGGCCTGTCACGCTGCTCCTCAGGTGTGGCAACAGGGAGATCGCCGTATCCGCGCTAGCGCGTGCGCTGAATTGCAGCAGAACTGAGTGGTGTGAGGCTGAAAATCCGTTTTGGGGTGCTTTGGGTTCCTCGGCGGCAAGTCAGGCAGACATACCTGACCTTGCCTAACAGTACCCACACTGTGGCAAGGATGCCGTTGCAATCACGGCAGAGCTGGATCCCAGCCTGCAACTTTGTTATTCACCTTGGCGATGACGAGAATGGAATGGCACACACCGCTCAGGCCCGGGGCCGTTCAGGTCCGTCCGGTTCGCATCCCAGTGTACGGATTGCTTGCTCAGCATACCCAGCGCCGGCCGGTGTTCCCCAGCAACTCGGTGGATCAATGTGACCCGAGGCCACTGGTGGGATCCGGATGGTCGGTGTTCCGGTCCTCCGTACCCCACACCTTCCGACCTTGCAGATCATGCCACGGTCCGGCCGTGGTGTGATACGGCACGAGTTCGTACGGCACGGCTCGGTTCGAGCCTCTTTCTTCGCTGTACCGGTGTGAGGCACTTGCAGAAAGGTACCGACCGATTTGAAGCCACGCTCCCACTCTCGTGACGGGACGGGACTGACGGCGAGGGCGCCGTCAGCATGCCAAACGGCTCCATTGAGAACGGCTGTCGTGACCGAAAGCCGCACGGACATAACGAGCAGCAGCTCCCACACGCCGACAGCGACTGAATAGGATGGGCGAGCCAGACCGATCCGGCTCAGACTGGACTTTTGGCTGAGATCGCTTGAGAGTATTTAATTTCAATAACGCAACACTCTCGCCGTCTGATTCTAGGACAAGAATCCGAAACACGTAAAGCATCATTTAGGCCGGCTTGGCATCCTGAGTCCCTCGAACGTCCTCGGTGCGAAAGACGTAACACGAGTGTGAGCGGACTTTGTGAACGATGAGGAGACCAGGGAGAACGGATGTCACGGGGCTCAGGTGACCTAGGGAAGGAATGGTCCGGGTGCCGTGCCGTGTTCTACGAGATCTGTTTGACGACGGGCTCGCCGGCTCTGGCGGTGCACTAGTGAGTCAAGGTTTGTCAGGCGAAGTCGACGGAAGTCAAGGAAGTCGCAGAACCAGTCGGAAAGGACGACGGAAAGGAATTCCCAGTAGAAGGAGAGGGAGGAACGAGGAAACGGCGAGAAACGGTGCGGTGGGTAGTACGCACATGCGTTGTTGGTGTTGCAGGCGTTGCCCTAGTCGTGTTAAATTGTATCGCATGGCAGAGCATGAATTGTAAACTTAGCTCTGGAGCCTGTTCTTGAATGCCTTCTGACGCTCCTTCCGGCTTCTTAGGCACACTCAAAGCCAAAACCCGTACATTAGCGGTGGTGTCCTCGCCCACGGACTGAAGGGTTCCCGGTTCGCACTAGGTCCAACTCCAGGATACTTCAAGTCGCGCATGCTCGTAGCCCTAGGGAGTCTTGCCCTGCAGTAGTTCGTAACACTCCGATCTGCCTGACCTTCGGCAGAGTGGTGCGTTAGTGCGCGGTGCTCGGAGGTGAAAGCTGCGCTTCTTGTCCCTATGCGACACCAAGGGCATGACCTGCATGGCTGGGAGTTCAGTGCTCCGGGTCCAATGTCAAGTTCAGGACCCGATTTCCATGGGCGGAACTGACCGGGGGCCTTGCGATCCCAGGAACGCGACGAGCTTTCGGTGGGAACTGGCGGTCTTGATCAGGCCGTGTCTCTCGTCGTCTTGTTTGCTCTTTGCCTCATGGCGTCCGCGCCTTGCCGGTGTGTGCCGTGTGAGACTGTGTGAGACATTTGGGACGCTAGACCGCTCCAGTTGCGATCGTCAATGCAATGAATGGAGCGACGGAACATCAGTGGAGCACCTAGCAGCCGTCCAACCGAACTTGTCGCAATGACCAAACCGATCATTGTGCATCAGTGGAATAGTGGGCACCCACCTTACCGGGCAGCACCATGTTGCACATGTCTCATTTCTTGAAAGACGAACGGTGGCATCGAGGCTAAACGGGAAGCAAAAAGCCCCCGAAGACGGCCGAAGGGTCGAGGAGCCGAGGGTCCGAAGCTGAGGCAGGCCGAAGGGGCGGGGGCAGCATCAGAGCGTGCACAGCTGACGTAGAGCTGACAGTTTACGATACAAAAGGGTGCTTTGAACCTTAGATTGAACGTTTAGACAAAACATTGACAGGCGCCCTGTCTTCTTACGTTACTTCACCGCGCACGTCCAAGACTTGTCCTGCCGGGCCTCTGCCATGCGCGCCATGCGCGCCTTGCCTGTCCGGGGTCCATTGGCCCTGACCACTCTCTCACACCGCGTTGCCTGGTGGTCCTGGTGAGGTCCTTGTGGTCCTTGTGGAGCAGAGACTAGCCTAGACACAGAAACCCCGTGACTCCGATAAGCATGCACCCATGTTTCGAAGTGCGCGACGGCGGCGCGACAGCGGAGCACGCGCGAATAGCTACACCTCACGCACCAGATTCTCAGCGAGGTATGCGGGAGGAACGACCAGTGTGAATGCAAGTGGGCAGCTTCAGCCGGCACCCCTTAGGTCAGCTGTTTCTTCGGCACCCCCATCCCAATCCGGAAGGTCTGGATGTAGCCAAGTTCGAAACTGGATGACGAGATGAATGCCCACGACCTCGCTGTTACTGTCAAAGGGGCGCCCAGAGTGATTGTATACGCAGATGGTGCGTTGAGGTTGCATCGGGAACACAACACGGTTGTAGATAGTAGTAGTGTATGGTAAAAGTATATGAATATTGTCCTAGCAAAACCCAGGTGACTCGAACTCAAGTCGAGTAGACCAAGCAAGTATAAACTATATCTTACACAGTAGATAGACGAAGGGAGCCGCGCTCCAAGGAGATTACTTGAAGAGAAGGAAAGAAATAAAAGGAAGCGTCCATTCAGATGTGTCGCGACTTTGGCGCTTATTGTTGTTAGAAAGGTTCGACGGTACCAGTCCGTCTTTTGTCGATGAAAATCGTTCAGTGTCGGTTTAAAAGCAAGAATCGAATCATTGTCTCTTAGTCTTCTAGCGAGGACTGGTTGTGTGTGTAAATGTTGCTCTATCGGTGAAAAGGTTGAACGCGGGTTGACCTGCAAGACGGCGAACTTCTTTACTGAAGGTAGGGCGAGGCGTCGGGCTGGACCCAAACATTGCCGTTCATGTACTCGTTACCCTGGACGTTGGAGACGTAGACTCCCTCGTCACCGGGACCAGGAAGGCCGATACCCAGGCCGACCAGGGGCTGCTGCGGGGCTTGCGGCTGCTGCTTCTGCTGGGGCACCGGAAGGCCGGGGCACAGCGTCGGCGAGGAGGCGAAGGCAGACTGAGCCAACGGCGAGGGCGAGAAGGGGAAAGGCTGGGGGGTGTAGGTGAGGATGTTGGGAGTAGGGGTAACGGGCATGGCGTACGAGGTGCTCGCGGAGCTCTCGGTGGGAGATACCGGGGCCGTGGCATACGTAGCGTAGGCAGAGTTGTCCTCGACAGAGTGGTCAGGAACAGAGGGGGGGAGTGTCGGCACAGAGGGAATAGGAACCGACATGGGGGCCTCGACGGCAGGAACAATGGGCACCATGGGCGAAACGTTGATGACCGGAACCGGGGGTGCGTTGAACCATCCCTGCTCAAACTGGGCAGGGGAGCTCATGGGGGGAGCCGAGTGGGGAACCGGCGAGTACGGTGACATAGTGGCCATGTTGATGTTGATGGGGGTCGAGTAGGAGCGACGCGCAGGAACGTGAGTTCCACGAATGGGGCCGTGTCCGAGATATGACATTCCGTACATGGGCGACTCGCCGACGAAGTAAGGGGCAGCGCGCTGAGAGACGAAAGCAGACTTGGCGGCCTTCGCAGCGGCCTTCTTCTCGCGAGTGGCACGGTTGACCTCCTCGGGGACGGGCTGGTAGTCGCATGAGCGACGGGCGCGGGTGCAGTTGGCACACGGGGTAGATCCACAGCACTTGATCTTGCTGTATCAGGTCAGCCACAACGTGCTCTGTGCGGAAGGAATGTAGGGTAGAACTCACCGGTGACGGCAGTACTGGCACGCCATGGCAATGCGCTGGCGACGTGTTGACGACTCGCCGGGCATGATAGGGGTGTACGAAGTGTTGGGGGTGGTGTTGGCGCTCTGAGTGGTGAGGGGAGAGTTGGTGAGGGTCGAGTTCGCGAGAGCGGTGTCGAGGGTGATGGCGGGCTTGTTGGTCTGCATGGTGAAAGATTCAGTCGCTGGGTTCGATAGGAAGGAAGAAGAAAAGGTAGTGCTTGGAAGAGAGAAAGGGTTTCACAAGGAAGTCGAAATCACCGAATCGTTGCTGGCAGAAGAAGTCGGTGAAAGGGAAAGAAGAAGAAAGAGGGGGAGGGGAGAAGAAGAGGATAGGGTAGGGTAGGGGGGGGGTGAAGCGTTGTTGACGAGCTCTTAAGTGTGTCGGGGAATGGTGTATGGGGGTGGTAGTCACAGGCAGACGGAACCGCTGGATGTGACAAGAGGAGTATGAAGAAGTAGGGGGAGTGTCTGAGGTGAGGCAAGCTACGTTGGAAGCAACGACGGGGAGATGGATACGGAAGGGGAAGAAGGGGGATGTTATGTAGGACGATAGATAAATGCTCGAGTGGGCCAAGAGAGAGAGAGAGAGGTGGACGAAGGAAAGCGTGCGCCGGATCCAATCCAACTGGGAACGATCGTTGGTACGGTGGTGAGGAGGAACAGGACCAGAGCCGGAAGCGCGCACCCACCGAGCAGAGTGCCAGAGATAGTGCAGCGTTTGCGTGCCGTGCCGAGAACAAGTCGGGCAGGAGACGAGAGGGATTGGTGCGCGCGCGCGAGTGCCAGGCGAGGAGACTGCACTCTGCGCACCCAGTACTCAGTCTTACCTGCAGTTGATCAAGGTCGGGTCAAGCGTCAGGTCAGGTCAGGTCAGCCGTCAGCCGGGGATCGCAGAGGCGCAACCCCCGCGGGCCAGTCCCCACGGCACCAGAGCAGAGCCTGTCTCGGATGAGGTGACCTCGAGGCAGAGCGATCGGCCGGCAGGGTTGAACCTGGGGATAGCGGGGAGCTCGTCCAGGGTCACCCGGCACAGAGCCCAAGGAATCCCAGGACGCACGCAGGACGCGAGTGACCCTGCCTTGCGCCCCTGCACCTAGCTAGACCCTGAACAACCCAGGCTCAGGTTCAGGTCCCAGTCCTGGCGACCTAACGTCCTGGCGTCTCTGGCCAGGCACCCAACTTTGAACTCACCTAGCACTTGTCCTGTCCTGGCCAGGTCCGGCGTCGAGTCGCCTCCTCGATCCTCGTCCTGGTGGCGGCGCCCTGCCCGTCGTAAGTCCTATAGTCCTGCGCTTCTACATCCTGCGAGAGGCCGCGAGAGGGGGGGTGGCGTGAACGCATGAACGCATCAATCAAGATTGCATGCTCAACCCCGATGTAAGGTATGCACTGGCAGTCACCCTTGTACGCGGATCCCCACCCGTGGCTGAGACACGTCGCTTACCCTCTCTCTCTCGCGCTCGCTCACTGTGTGCCTGGGCTTACACTCACCTGTACCTCTGCACCACTTCTTCTCCACATGCTCTCTGCGCACTCTATGCATCCGCACTCGCTCTGCCGTGCGACCTTCGCTTCTCTGTTACGGCACAGGCGCGACAGAACCGGTCCTCGGCACTTACGTCACACCCCGAGGGTTTGCGGCCACCACACTTTGCGCCACCTTCATCAAACCTTTCGTCGTCGACTCCAGGATGACCAGGACAGGCTCCCCTGGTCTCAGGCGTTCCAGCACACGTTGTCACCAGCGTCCTTTGGGCGTCTAGCGCGGGCAAAGGCTGACACCTCGCGCACTGCCTATCGTAGCTCGTACCAAACTGTATACCTATTAGTCAGTCCTCAGCTTGGCGACAGGGCTATGTCATGCTCGTTTCGGAGCTTTCGCGCCGTCCATCCCGGAGTTCGCGCACCATGGGCGTGCGTGGGGACCCTTAGCCACCCGCCCCAGCATGCTCCTGCTTCTGCTGACACTGATTGCATGAGCGCATGTACGTACAATAGAGGTGGGCCTTGTTCGCGTGAAGCGTATGGTACATTCATTCGAGATCGAGCGCCATGAACCCACCAGAGGAATGCAGAGATGTGACTGATGCGAGTAATAGTGTCTTACGCTCGAGGTGATATCCGGCCATGGTGAATGGTGCCAGTTGGTGCCAGTCCAGAGCGATTAGAAACCATGCACAGTCACTGTTGGCACCCGCTGCGACGCGTGCGGGCGCGTCTCCGTCCGGTCTACAGTTTGGGCCCACTACCGCTCTCCACCGGAAGCACGAGAGGACGCTGACACACCGCAGCACGCGAGCGAGCCAGGTCGAGCATGGTTAAGGTAGCGTGCCGTAGTGTATCCTATGGTACCCGGGCGGAAGAATGGGTGTGACAGGCAAAGGCGGCCAATTACGACTTGTCGCTCTTGTCCTAATGGTATTATCACCAGTGAATACTGGACCCCTTGAATCAGGGTTTCCGGCAGTCACGCTTTGTCGTTAGTGCTCTGACCTCATGCCTCGGAGGGCAGGGCTTCCTCTCTCTGAGACGCATGCACATGGATGCACCGCAGAGACAAAAAACTAGCTCACACAGTAGTTTAGAGGACGCTTGCTGCCGGCCGAGCTGCGGTGCTCCGTTGGACGCTGGCGATGACGCGCTCGTCAATTTGGACGAGGGCGCCATGTGTTCATATGATCTCCTCGGCGGATATTGCGCTAGTGGCGACCGCCAGGTCAGCGTCAGCGGCGTTGACCAGCAGCGCTAACATCGGCTCTTGAGAGCGCCAGTGGAGGGATCATGTTTTTCCGGCGGTACGAGGCGTCACTGTGCTTTGGGCTGGGCCGGCTGGACGCATCGGGGCTCACCCAGGCGCTCAGTCAAAGGGTGAGTGAGGGGCCCGGGGCTGGCCAGTTACGAAACCGAACGCCGCGTACGCCCCCTCGCTCCGTCCGACTGTCAGCGTTGTCCGTGCTCATCGCCCGCATCCGCAGCGTGATAATAACCGGTGGCGCAATGGCGTTCGCGGAAACCTGGGCGCCTGGCGGATAAGCGGAGCGGCATGCTGCATTCGGGCGGGCAGTTGCAAGTCCGAAAAATGCATGTCAAGCAACGCCCGCGGCCCGAAACCCGCCTCATCCTCAGCCACTGAGCTACATGTCTTGCACGAGGCAGGCGCCGAACGCCCCACCTCCTTTCACCCCTCGTCAAGCAACAGCAAGCGCCGCTGAATAATGTTTCAGAGACTGATAGACAGCAACAAGCCCTATAGAATGCAAAGCGCGGAGCGGTGCGGTAGATGACAATGTGGCTTACGCAGAATGTGGTGCAATCCTCTGTTAGGGAGCGACGCCCCTTACGAGAGCCCACTTTTGGGCGGATATGCAGACAACAGCAACCAACCTGAACGGCATATGACCTGCCCGAGTTGCCTGTAATCAATACGAGATGATGCACACTGTGGCGCCGCCGATACTCATCACGAGTGCCAGTGTGATCCGCTGACACAGATGTCATGTGGCTGCAGGCATGTCTCATGCGGAACAAGGTGTGGTGCGCCGATGCCATATGGCATCGCCACGGTCCTGACATCCGTCCTTCCGAGGTACGCGTGGCTTCGACCGGAACCTTAGCACTCACGCGCCTGAGCTCACCGATGTGGACAGGACGAGAGTTCGGTGTGCTCCTCGCTCTCCTGAGCGCTCCTCGCTGTCAGCCAAGGTATTCCCTGTGCACAATTCGCCGCGTGCACCGCGTGTACAAGTCATAAGGGCTCAGATTCCAACATCGGAGCACTCGCAGCAGCTGGAGCGTGCTAAAGCTTGTCACAGGTGGACGAGATGCGGGTTCCAAGTGTCTGCGACCTGCCAAGACCTACTCGTTGTTGTCAGGGCTCCAAGAGCGCAGACGCGCGACGCGGTTGCCCGTACCGTGACAACTGCATAGCCATCTTGGACAGCCTCGACTAGGTTGAACTTTCGCGGATAGACTTTCCATCGCGGCATCGTGGCATCGTAGCTTTCGCGCCGAGCTCAATCGTTGTTCTCGTCGCTCTGCACAGCAGGCTTCTCGGGCACCAGTCCAAGACATCGAGAATGACCTGACTCCTGGAAATCGCTGACATGATTCTGTGCCTGGGCCGTCCTCGCAACCAGGTTCGACCAGGTTCCTGGCTACCGTCCGAGGTAAAGGCACGGCACTACGCGTGGCGCCCAAACGTAAAACATATATGCTCTGGGCAATCCTTGACATTACGGCAGGTAGCGGGCTCCTAAGCTGCCGCATGGCCTCGAGACTGTAGCGGCGTTCGCTGGCCCGCTGAGGATTTCTGTGGGATCTGCTGGGATCCTGTCAGGTCCTGCCAGGTACTGTGGGGGATGAGCGCACTGACAGGGTGCAGTTGTAAAGTCCTGGTTAGTCGTTTCCTCCGGTACCTGAGCCGGGTTTCCTGTACTCTACGGCTCTGCTGCCGTCAGCCCGAGCAGCCATCCTTAAACCCGTGCCAGCAGTTGGCCGCGCAGCTCGGTCAGTGTCGGTGCACCCACGACACGAGGCCAGGCACGACTTTCGTGCTTGCTCATCCACGGCTTGCACTGTGAGCTCTCGGCGAGATGCAAATGCTGTAATGCCAGCCAAAGTCGCCATTCAGCGAACCTGAATTTCGTACACCTGTGTGCGAGAATCAATTTTGAGATTTCTCGGTGGCGTCAATAAATGATCGACATGTGCGCTCTGTCAACCCTCCCCGCGTATGCACTTTTCGTGGGCTCTGACGATGTGGGCGCCTGCATACCTGGTACGACTGTAATCAGATTCCCGTGTTCCTCTTTCTATTCTGCGCAGGATCTACCGATCTGCAGACCTGGGCCAGACTCTACCATGATGGTCCGCATGCCAATGACTCTCTTCTACCGGATCGCGGATTGTCATGCACATGCAGTCGGACGATTTACTTCCAAGCGGCGTATAGACTTACGAACCCGCGCAGCCCGGCCGCCGCTTGTCGCCTGAGGGAAGATCACAAACCCGGGCGTCAGTTGCTCAAGAGCGCACGTACATCAGTTTTCAAGTTGGTAGGTTCCGAGCACGGGCAAACGCACTCCAAACCCCAAGGACCTCATGCCGGCCTCCTGTCTGTTCGGCAGAATGCAATAATCATCCGCCAGGATCAACCGACGCACGCCGGATGCTGATTTCTTTTCCTTTGCCTAAACCACATGGCATTACCCTCAACGCACCATACGTACAGCGGACCATTTACGTTAGACACAGCGTTCCTGTCACCCGCGGATCGACCCAAGACCTTTCGGTGTATGCACGTCCTATCCCTTTAGGACACTCGTATAGATCGCCTGTGCTGCCATTGCCGCAAGGGAAATTTTGAGCATATCAGAGGTAGTAACCCCACGAGGTGCAGCCGCATTATGGGCGCTCGCACAGCGCGAGGAAGCTTCGAAACGAAACTGTGAAGCACCTTGCTTAGCAGCAAGCGTGTACCCTCAAACGCACACAGAGTTGTTAAGCTTAGCACTTCTGGTCCGCAATCGCCCCGCGGCATTGCTGCTTAATTCGCGCAAGAGACACTGATTACGTGGTGCTGAAACGCCACGGTGAACGGAGCTCGCCACACCCACACCACACTATGGGCGTCACTCTGGTGAAGAAGGTTCGTGTCAAGCGCTAAGCACAAACACTTTCCCTCTCTGTCTTCAAACCAGTGGGGTGCCCTCAAACACAAACCTGTGCACAGCAGAGGGTTAGCTGTTGAATGAATCCTCCGACGACTGGAGACTTCAGGGCCTTCCGTTGTCGCACCGAGAGCACATGCGAAGATGGCAGGCTGGTGTTCTGGTGACCTGGCGGAGTCCTGGTTCAGAGACAAAACGACGTGCGTGGTGAAACACCCAGGCACCGCAGTATAAACCACCGATCCCAGAAGTGTCTGACATGCCATTTGGACGTGCACAGCAATCGCAGAGTGAACCACATGACGCGCATTCGTGCGAGCTCCAGCCGCTCCAGTGCCCAGCCACATCGGCATCGACGTATCAGCCACTTCCTCGCAAGCAGGCATCCTGACGAGCGTACGCACGCCTGATTCCGAGCTCAAACGCACCTTCCATCAATTCATCTTGTGACAGCGCCTGAAATGCCTCGACGGTTCGGCCGCCTACGAAGTTGCCACGTTCTACAACTAGGACTTCACACTTCTCGGAGACTTAGAGGAAGCCGCCGTCGAACATGGAACAAGGCAACAAGGCGTCGATGCGCGTGTGAGATCTAAATTCTAAAGCGAATCCTTCCTTGCAGCAGCAAGCACACTAACAGACGAGTCTCACCCAGCGTGACGAGCTCTTACGAAGCGTGACATGTCTCTTGGGCGTTTCAAGTCAAATTCTAATTGTCCGGTTGGATGGACGTTCTGCTAATTACGTATAATTACTCCTTTCAAGCTAGCGGATTGTGGTCGCATTAATAAGCCGTTCAAGGTCCGGTTAGCTCTGCAAGGCGATGTCAGTCGCACTGGGCTACCAGCCTCATCGCGCAGTCACGAACGGCGACATGCACAACGACTCATTCTCCCGGCGGCGCTCATGCATTGTCTTCGTTTAAACACAGGCAGATACCTGACAGCAGATAGCGGGCTGCAAGCATTCAAGATGTCCCGCCAGGGCAAAAGGGGCTCAAGAGAGGCTGCTAGCATTCCTCGTCACGAGTACAACGGACTGTTTCTTACGTTGGCTAAAATGACTTACACAAGCGACAAGACACCACCCACTAAGGAGGCAGGCGGCATCCGCAGGCCCACAGGGAGCAGGCATTTGGGGACGACCGAACCGCAGGTCCACATTCATTCCTCGCAATTCATATGCGCCGGGACTGCGGCTCACGCAAGACCTCGCATCGGGTCGGCTCCCTTTGTCCGTCACCGTCGCTCTCGCTTCGTTTGCTGGAAACAATTCGGAGGTCGGTGCGCTATTGACACGGGCGCGGGGGGCGCTGGGCGGAGACGACTCCACAGTGCATGGCGCTGACCTGACCGACCGACTGGACCTGGCGGCGCTGCGGATCGTGGATCGGGTGGAGCTGGGATCTAGGAAATCGTATAGCAAATAGCGCAAGGCCGAACTACTGATAAACTGGCCCGACCGGATTCGGAGCACAATGCGCCAGGACGCCAGCCGAATCGCGCACCGGCATGGTCTGGGCGGTGGAAGGGGCCGGTGGAGGACGCCTTGAATGCCAAGCGGGTCATGGAATATCCGCCGAAGGTACGTACCGCCGCTTAAACCTGTCCGATCTTTGGATCAGTAAATGCACCAGTTCCAGCGCGGGGATGCGTACTATTACTATGTCTCGTTCAGTCTGTACCGCAGTGTGTCGCGCGGTTATTGTGACTAACTCCACTGCCATTGTACGCATCTGTTCGGGACCCAGCAGAACAACATTCGCAGGTGCCGAGGCTGATCCAAATCAATAATGCAATTTGATCCAGCGCACCGGGTACGTCGGTACGCTGACCAGCTCATGGTCAGGTCAGGAATCATGGTCGGCCTGGCCCCGCCCAAAATGCCAGCCCAGCCAGCCCAGCGGTCCAAGCACCTCAAGCCTGGGCTGGGCGAGACCGTCTGGCTAGTCAGCCGGCTGGGCTTTCGTTCGGCGGCCCCGATCCAGATGATCCAGATTTCGGCTTGAGCTCGATCCACCTTGACAAGCTCCTTTTGTTACTCGGTGATTACAATGGCCATGTGATCCCTGACGACTCGGTACTCGGTGCAACGTCGTTCTTTACACCGGCCCACCTCTTGGAAAGTAAGCATTGCATGTGATTCGGTTGAATGGGCTTGGGTCAATGTGCCCACCTCATGTCGCTCACATTCAGCGATCAGCGTCTGCAGCGCATTCGCCGAGGCCTCATCAGTCTTGGATACTGAAATGGGTATGAGGCACCGGATTAAGCGGAGAGAGTGCGCTGTAAGGTATGTCTGGCGTACATCGCTAAACGTCAGGTACTGCCTGATCTCTGTGCCGGGGTCTACTCGGGGTCCGGATGGTCTAGGTCTGGCTTGAACTGCTTATGGCACCCAGAGGAGATCTCTCATTCATCTTTCTCTCGGCATTCGATAGTCTACCCGCGTGCAATTAACTCACAGCTGTTGTCATGCAATGCATGCAACATGCAGACATGACTGTCCCATCTCCAAATGAAGTCGACAGCCGAGGTTCACTTGGCTGTCGGGTTTCTGACTCTCGCTAGGCCCCATGGCATCGGGTAACGAGTGTGCCGTTCCCAGCACATTGCGACTCTTGCTCTCACGAAACCTTGGATTGACAGATGTTCAATTCACTCAACCCCCGTCGGGCGTTGTATGCAGTTCATCTGAATGATGCAAACTATGCATACATGCGAGTATCTGCTGAAAATACTAACCTAAATCTATGCCCCGTGACTTGCACCTAAGGCCTCATGGGCTCCAACCACTTGTCTGCGCGCTCAAACTGCTCAATGACATCGGGCTGGATCACCGTGTTGGCGACTGTCGGGTTAGGACCCTGTTCCTGATTCAACGTCCGAATGGCCACCATGATCTGTGGAATGTCAGCTGAGCTATAAACACGAAACGAGATACTTACGGCGTCCCAGAAGCGGAAGCCACGCTCAACCTCGTGCGTCGGTGCCTTGACGCCCGTGAATGCTTGATCGACAAACTCAAGCGCAGCCTTCTTCGCTTGCTTGACCTCATCAGTCTGGGCGTTCTCAGCCGTGATTGTGTCTCCATAGTGGAATGTGGCGGCGTCGAGGTACGTTTTGGCCAGGATTCCAAAGCCAGTGTTGACGTCGACTTGGAAGGGAAGCGAGATGCACATGTCGAGATAGTCGTCGCGCATGCGCCTGGCATCTCCAGACAGAAGAATGTGGACGTTGATAGCCTCCAGGAGATGGCGCAAAGCTTTCGTAGTCGACTTGACAAACGAGTTGAAGACGAGCAGCTCGCGGGACAGAGGTCCACTCCACTGCTCAGGCTGGGAAGTCAGCAAGCATTGACAGAGCTGCACTTACGCGGAAGTTGAGGGGGATGGCACTCAGCACTCGCATGATCAGCAGCGTGTTGCTCTGCTCCTCATCCGTGCCAAAGCTCGGTCCTCCGGACAGAACAGGAGCGTTCGGTCCTCCGAATCGGTGACCGTGAACGACGCCGGCCCGAAGAAGCTCCAGGATGATGTAGATCGGCTCCTGCAGCTTGTCCGTCACTCGCGCGGAATTACACGCAGCATGGAAAGCCTTGCCCATGACAGTCTGGTGGTGACTGGCGTTTACGAAGCTGTTTATCAGATTTAATCACCCGCACGACTCACCCTCGGACGTCAAGGAAGCGCCAGATAATGTTGGCGACAATCTCATCCTTCTTCTCGAGGATCTTGGCAGCCTTCTCTTTCTTGGTGTATGCGATCGTCTCGTCCTTCTCCAATGTGCCAATGCAGAGCTTGAGATCAATAGTCGAGGACTGAAATTAGTGACAGCCCAGCCGCCAAACTCACACTCTGTCGTCGCAGCTCGTCAACGAGGACGTGGTGGGGCACCTTCCAAGTGGCGCACTTCTCCACGAGCGATTGAGTGAGGGGATCAGTGATGGGAACAGCAGTGCCCATGACTGGTGCAAAGGCAGGATCAAAGTAGTAGTGAGCGGACTGTGGGTTAGTCGGGTGAGCAAGGGGTGACCTACGATCCTCTTCGACGCCCAATGGGGGTGCAAACACGCCGAAAGAAGCGCCAGCGTCGTGCAACGCGGCGACGTGGCACCCTCGGTGATGATGTCTTTGATAAACCGGCGGTATTCTGGCGAGTCAGCCAGAGGCTGTCGCTCATCAATGACTCCCGTGGCGAGGTATCCAACCAAGTTTGCTGCAACCATGCCTCGGCAGATGAAGAAGTAGAGTTCGTCCGGCAGGCGAGGAGAGAAGATCTCGTCCAGGTCGGACGGAATGTCGGCCGGAGTGATGACCGCGTTGGGGGGTGGGACAACGAGAGGGAGCGGCACACAGGCGCCCTCTGTCGTGAGAATAAGGGAGTACTTGACGGCTAAGCGGGCACGCATGAAGACCTCGCCGTAGTTAGAGGCCTTGACAGCGGGCGATTCCCGCCACGCCTGGCAAGTGACGATGCCCGTCTTGTATTGACGGATGAGGTCGATGGCCGACCGGATCGAGAACGTGTCGGCGATCGGAGGGAACGTTCGACAGAGCGAACAACCTGCCAGGAGACCCAAGTCCAGGAACTGGTCCGCCGTCATACCGAGGTCGGAGAGGATTCGAGACTTCTCGTAGAAGGTGAACGTGCCAGACCAATCAATGTTGGTAATGACCTTGTCAACCGTCCACAACAGCGCTTCAGAGTCTGACCACATGGCGTGAATGTAGCCCTTCGGGTGACGGAGGAGGTAGGCAAGCTGAGATCTGTGAGCGCTCCCATAGAAGGGTATGAGCTTACCTGTGCAGACGCGAGATAGGGAGCAATGACGTACTCGACGAAGCGGTGCTTAAACGCACGAAGAATGAGACGCACGACGTCTTGCACGTCGACCCACTGACCGCCTCGAACCTGTGTGAGAGCAACGACAGCCCTGTCCACCTGGCCGTCCTCGTAGTATGACCACGCCTCGTTCTTCACCATGTTCTCTCGTTCAGCCTGATTGTTGGTTCCCTTTGTGGGTGGCCGAGATGTGAGAGGGAGACCCGAGAACACGAAGACAGGCTTGATGCCAGCCTTGTCTAGCTGGCGCAGATCACTTTCGATGCGGTTCGCGAGGGAAAGGGGCAGACCTCCCGTGGAGGCGATCAGAGGCTCGCGCTGGTCGGCATCTTGCAGGAGCTGCTTGACATAGTAAGTGACGTCGATTCCCAGGCGCGTTCCAGCCAGCGCGCTGAGAGGAGCAGTCTGCGCAAGCTTCCTCTCGCGCAGGTACACTGGTCGTCAGAGCCGAGCCCCGGACACGAACTCACCATCGAGGTTGCGAACGGGCATGTCGGGCGTCACGAATCACAGAGGTTGAAGCGATCACAGGACAGCAGCCTGCAGCAGACGAGTAGAGCCCCAGATGACGAGGGGAAGGGGCTGGCTTAGAGTGTGGTTGAGGAAGACAATGATCGAGGCTCGGAATCATGAGGTGCTCCGGGGGTACACGTCTGGAACGCGGTCGTCACGTGAGAAATCCCTGACCCGATCCATGCGCCCCCGCACAGCCCTCCGCTTCCAATTCACATCGTCTACATGCATACACAACTGAAAATACAAGCTAGCTAGTTACATAACACCACGCACAGCCTCTGCCGCTGCAGTATCAGGCATGGACCCCCTCTGGTTGAAGAGCTTGTCCTTGACTATCTGAGCTGTCATGTTGTTGGTGACTTCATTGGCGATCTTACGACTGTGTTGTCAGTGACTCCTCTACTCGACGCCACTCACGCGTCGGCTGCGGGTCCCGAGATAGCTGTCGGGGCGATCTCAACAGAGTCCTCCTGCTTCTTATCCTTTGCGTCTGAGTTCTTGATTTTGAGAGCCGCGTGCTGCTCTCCCAGTCGGCTGCCGGCAGAGTTGAGTTTGGCGTTTAGGTCCTTTATCTGCGAGGTGGTGTACGCCCGACTCGTCAGGATCTGGCCCTGGCTCAAAGTTGCAACCCAGTACTTGTTCCAGAGCAGGTCCAGCAGCTTTTCGTCGGTTTTCGTCTTGTAGATCTCGACTTTGAGGGGGTAGTACGAGTTCGCGTATGCACCAAAGTCTTCGATCTTGTCCAGGGGAATGGTCTGATACTCGGAGCTCCCGCTGGCCGGTGGAGTGTAGCCCTGCCTGATCAGTTTGAATCGTGTATACCACTACTCACTTCTGGATACGTTCGGAAGGCGCCGATCTCTACCTTGCCTGCCGACACCGTGCGGTTGGGATCAATCTCATGTCAGCGGTATTGGGGCAGCCATCTCACCACCACAGCGAGGTAAGGGTCGTTGAATTTCTGGTTCGTGAGCTGGGTGTTGACATCAATTCCGGAAAGCCAGCATCCGTAGCCGGGGTGTCTGCGATCAGCACTGGTGGAGCGGACGACTCACGAGTGATACCAGCCGCGCAAAAGGTCATTCTTCCCGACGGTTTTGTTGGATTCCTGGAACTGGACCATGTACTCAAACGCCTCAATGTTAGCTTCGCCGAGATACCAATCTCACCTCATTGCCAGCATTCACTCTGGTCTCCGTTCCTTGAACCGGAAGTGCCGCAGCGTCGGTGATCCAGAAGGCGTGGTCACGAACGCGCCCGTACATGACCCCCATGATTTCATACTGTCCGCCGGAGCGAGCGTGGATGACCTGGCGTTAGGGGTGCTGAGGAGTACCCTTACCATCTTGATCAAGGCCACGGCAGAGATCTTGACAACCTGAAAGTAGTGCGGGCTACCATCAGCTTCTGGGGCACGGCTATGACTCACTCTGTCTTCCATGGCTCCTGGTCTTCGAGTGCCTTCTCCTCATCTCGAGAATACAGGAACGCTGTCTCGGCGGCATCCGCAAGCTTTAATGTCAGCGTCTGCTCTGCTTATCCTCCTGCAAACCTTGATGTCGTTGTTTATCTCGAAATTTCCCCTCGCCGCTTGCTCCATGGTGGAAAGGATGGTGGTGACTATGTTAATCGGTGAGGTCAGATCGAGACGATGACGACGTTCACGTGGTCGACACGTGTCTAAACGGACTTCGGGTGGTGTCCACTCTTGGGACGTAGCTGATTTCCAGATGCGATTCTCGATTGATCAGTCTTCTCGTCACAATCGTCTCAGTGTGCGGCGCTCAGGATGCGACGGGAGAACCCGTTGACAGAATTTAGCATACACTCCAATGGATGCGTTTGCCTCTACCCATAGCTACTCGTGGGGGTTTTGTCCCCCAACATTGAACTTCGCAGCCCGCCACGAAGGGACCTCTGCCTGCTCCCTCGAACCCAAGAGGCCGAGCTACTGCCTCCGAGCTGGCAAATAGGCGGCCATGTAAAATATTGAGCTTCGTTACAACAATGTGTCGTCCGTAAACCATCGCTACTGCCTTTGACAGCAGTAGACAGAAAGAGCGAATCTCCCGATACATGAGTTGTCGACGAAATAGTGCCTATCATGTGCCAACCCTTGGAGCTCCCATATCCTATTTAACTTCTGTAGCCTCCGGAACTTTCGACCGTATCCATGACAGCACCATCCGCAAGAGCTTTATCCCGTGCGACACCTTGGGTGAGGACCCGCGGATAATGGTTTAGCTCACAGTAGACGATGCGGCATCCGGCATACACCCCCTTGCATACTCATGCGGGAGTGGTCTGAAGCAGATCAATGGGATCTGGGCGGTTTTAGAGTCATGAGTATGGGCACGAGAAAGGCGCTGTCAATCCACGGCGAAGTGCAGAACAGCACCGAGTAGCGAGCACAAACTTTCCACGTCCATGTGGAAGCCAGAACGGACACGTGAACCTCTTTGCTTACACCCAGGCGTATGTCGGCAATGGCCTAGCTGCGAGTCCATGCTTGTACAGGCACCTGTCAAATGAGCCATGAACCGTAAGGCGCCTCCGCCCGCAAACTGACTGTTCGGACCTGCATTTCTTGCATGAGATCTTTTCCCGGAGCACCCCTCTGTATATGGGTACTGTCGAGCAGAGGCTGCATGCCAAGAACAGGTAAAGCAGACAGTAAAGCGGAGACATTTCTCGTCCGTTGCCACAACACTGCCTCACGCCTCACAGGCTTGCCGCATCGCCCACGTGGGAGCGGAGTCATCTCTTTCCTAAAGCAATGCTTGGATCTAACGCGAAACAATCCTGGAGGATGGACTCACGTTCCTACAGTCGAGATTGATTGACACTACCTCAAGAATCGACAGACACTAATCCACGGAGATCAAGCAGTCGCCAAGGCCGACTTGACGCGGATGCAAACGGCAACTCTGCACAATGAAACGCGTCGGCGGTGTGCGCGGTGCGCGTCCTTAACCGGCAACGGAAGCACGCCGCAGGGTGGCGAGCGGCCCGTGTGGAACCCTGGGAGTGCCGTCTGCGTCCTGGGTCACACTGGACGGGCAGCCCAAGAGAGAGTTGTGTGAGTCTGCGCTTGGCCAATTCTTGCAACGCCCATCGCCCATTCGGCCTGGTACGCGGTATCATCGTCAGGCACCTCTCCACAATGCTCATCACACATGCTGGACGGGCAGAACGCCAAGCGTTCGCAGCCTTGACCCGCACACGCCTTCGCCCCGCCCTCACCTGACGGGCCTCACAACTTCTGATCCTCAGCTCGCTGGGCGCAGGTCCTCAACCGATTGCCCGTCTAGTTGCACCTGGCGCATTATCCATTGTGACCTGTCCAAGCTCGGTCCGCGAACAGGCAACTGACAGGGGACTACTTACATCGCCGCTGATTGCTCTTGACCTCTTTCCTCATTCACACTCTCTCACTTTTCCCTCACACACTTCCGCCTTCCTACCGTACCACTCTAGGACCAAGTCCACCCGACACTCTTTCAACTGGCAGCGCCTACCTCTTCTCACTCCCTCTAATACCGTCAACGTCAACACACCTCCTTCGCAATGGTCGCCCTCAACGTCTTTGCTCTGGCTGCTATTCTTCCCGCCATGGTCCTGGCCAGCTCGGCCGGTCCTCAGACTCACAACTCGGTCCACCGTCGCCACCACACCAAGGCCAAGGCCGCTCGTGCTCTCGCTGGCGAGCGCAACACCACCAAGGCTCGCAAGCGCAACCTCCACCGCAAGCGCAAGTGCCGCCCCGCCCCTGGCAGCGAGGCTCCTGCTGTCGAGGGCCAGACTCAGGAGTGGTCTGAGCAGTCTGGCGGCGAGCAGCAGCCTGCCGAGCAGCAGGGCTCTGAACAGCAGGGCTCTGAGCAACAGTGGTCCGAGCAGCCCGCCGAGTCGACGGAGGGCTCTGCCGATGTCGCCGGCTCTGCCAATTTCGGCAGCGAGTTCCACGCCGAGGCCACGTCCGACGAGTCCACCACCACCTCCACTGGCTCCGCCCAGCAGTCCACTGGCGGTGACGGCAACCTCCGCATCGGCCGCACCCTCTCCGGCCCTTGTGGCAGCATCAACACCAACGAGGGCTCTCCCAACGGTGACCAGTGGTGGCTGAACTGTGGTATCAGCCTCGATGACCACGACGCCGCCTGGAACCCTCCTTACATGGGACTCGAGGACATTGTCTACCAGGATTTCAACCACGGTGACTGGGCAGGCTGTGAGGCCTTTGCCTGGGCCTTCAACGACCCCGAGTGCAACCTCGGCATCAACCCCGCCATCCTTGCCGCCATCGCGCGCCAGGAGTCGAGCTGCAACCCCAACATTCGCGGCAAGAACGGCGAGTACGGCCTCATGCAGGTCATGCCGTTCAACTGTATGGACGAGTCGGTGTGCATGGATGTCTGGCAGAACGTGAGGAACGGTGCGAACGTCTTCAAGACGTACCTCGACCAGTCCGGCGGCAACGTCCTCCTCGCTCTCGGCAAGTACAACGGATGGAAGGAGCACCTCACCTACAACCAGGCTACGCAGGCTGCCCGCGACGGCAACTGCTGGGCCCAGAACAACCTCGACTACCTCCACCAGATGCTCAACGGTTTCGTTGTTGGCCGCAACGCCTACACTGCCGACTTCCCCACCATGTTCAGTGAGTCGCTGGACCTCTCTTCGCCACTGACGTTGTCCCAGAGAACTACAACTGCCAGTAAATGCGATTATAGCTCAACAGCTATGATCATGACCTCATGCCAGTGTCCATGTTGACAATGATATCCCGGCCCACCATATACTTTTTCATCTTCACATCATCCCTTCCTATCCCATATCTCCCTCCTGTGCGGCAGCCGGCTGAGCACAGCTTGTTTCTACCTTCTTCTACAATGGCTATGCGATGGACAATCACGTGCCCGAGGACTGCATTCTGAAACTCACCCGCGACGGGATTGGCGACGCGCCTGCTGTCACCTTGGCGCCCACCGCCAAGAGGCTTGACGCAGGGCGTTTCCTCTGCCATCTCTCCCTTGGACTAATCATGGGACACCAACGGCGACATCTCCTGATCTCCCGATCGATGCGGTAGGACGTTGCCCGCTGCACGATCCCCCGAAGTCCCAGGAGATCCGTGGCCTGGGGAGATGGACCGAGCGCGGCGCCTTGGCGTCACCTCAACCCCCGCTCAGCTGCGCACGCCCGCTGTCCAAACACCGCTGTTCCACAACGGTGAGACATCCGTGCGGGAGAGTACCCATCACTTGAGGCATTTTTTGGTTACATGTAATGCCTATTGGAGTATATACTACAGTTGCTCGCAGAGCTCTAGTCAAATGAATGTCAGATGCTGTCGGATGTGTTAAGGGGCGCTCCACGCGCGCTCCCAGATGGCCGGTCGCGGCCACTTCTTGTGGAACCACTGGTTCACCATTGAGCGGATGTCCGAATAGTCCTTCTCGATGTCGTCGTTCAGACCCAAGATCGCGACGCTGTTCGAGTCGTCTATCTGCTTGAGCGATTTCTTCACTCCCTCAGCATTCTTAAGCATATGGAAGTGCACGTCGGACTTGCCCGACGAGTAGATGTATCGTGAGAGAAGCTTCATGCAGTACAGGCGAAGATTGACGTCCTGACCCGGTAGGGAGGTCGTAGACAAGACATTGTGGAGCGAAAAGTCGACAGCCTGCCAGGTCGAGTCAAGCGGGAGGTGTGGCGGTGGCAGAAAGTCGGGCGGCGGGTCTGTGGATGGGTTCGTGTAAGTTGAAGTTGCGGGGGGAAAGAAGGCGGAGAGGCCGAGCGGACCAGAAGCGGTTACGAGCGCCATAATGAGGCAGTCGCCGCAGTCCGGCTCCTGGAAAGCGATGCGCTTCATCATATCGGAAGCGGACACTTGCGTCCCGTGAGTCCAGAAGACGCCGAAACAGCGATCAAAGTCGAGAACGCACTGGTCATTCTCCTTGGCATCTGCCCCCTTAGGTAGAAATCCGGGAAAGTGACCGTCGAGTGAGGTAAAATCAAAGGTAGTGCGTTTCGGTCGCTCCCAGCCCGCCTGCTGAAAGATCCGCGCCATGCGAAAGATATCAAGCGTCTTGCGCTCGGCGCGGTGGACCTCAACCTCGGCGACCTGAGCTGCGTCGACTCCGAGACCAAAGAGGTCGATGATTGCCTGGCGGGAAGCGTCGTCCCACAGACCTTCCCGGCTGCCAAGATTGACGACGATGTAGGTCCACAGAAGCGCCTCGCGCCATCGATCGACGCGGAGCTGCGTCAGGAGCCACTGTATCTGGACGTCGCCATTACCAATGCGCAGCTCTCGGAACCGGCGAGTGCTGCTCAGAGTCAATGCCTCCTTGAACATAAGCGACGCTTCCTGATGCAAGCCCCTCGTGATGACCTTGGGAGCATGCGCAAAGTACGGCCGTTTCCGTTTTGGGAACCGCGCGGAAAGTAGATAGTTTGCGTGATACAGGCCACCCATCTCGCCCGTGTCCGTGATGTGCCCATCGTCAATGTCCGGCTTGATCCACTGGAACCAGGCGGTCTTGAACCGGATCACGTTGCCATAGAAGGGCGAGTGGAAATCCGACACGGCGTGGGGGCGCAGCATGAAAAAGTCGTCGTTCAGGGCGATGGACACGTCCGCGAGGCCTGGGAGCCAGCTAATGCGGCTCTCGATCGCCATCGAGTTGTACGTCGGCAGCGCCTTACTCCTCCAGTCTCTTTCGCGCCACTCTTTCTCGCCCAGCTGCATCGTGACAGCATCTCGCTTCACAGTCGGGAGGTGAAATATCTCAGAGTGCCCCGCATAGCGAAGCGTGGGGTAAGGGACTTGAAAATGGGCGTGCTCGGCTGCCGTTTCAGAACCTGTGGCCGGGTGGACCGGGTGCTGAGGGCTGCGCGTATCACGTCTCGAGAAGTTCAACCAGGTCGGAGTCTGCACGATGCGCCACTTCGTGTTCAGGTGGTCAAGAACCCGCTCCGAGATCTTGCGTCCGTCGAGATTCAAAACTTTATCACGCGTGGCGGGGTTGTAGACCGGACCAGACTTGTCAATGGTCTCCTCGAGAACATCGATCGTCGACTGCGGAACGAGGGCTAGGTCCCCAAGTGTTGAGTTGAAGGCGTAGTCGTAGAGTATCAGGTGGATCGTGCGGACATGGCCCTTGAGATTTTCGACGACGGATCGCATCGAGTACACGAGTTCGTTCTGCTCCCTGCTGTGTCAGCACTGCTACGCCATTGCACCCACCGAAAGTGCCTGGACGGACTCTTCACGCCCATCTTGGCCCTGTGCAAGCGCATCTCGTCGGCCCATCGTTGGTCTGAACCATTGACCCAGAGCCAGGTGGCATCGAGCGTATCCTCTGGTCCGAGCTCTGCGCGTCCGCACATTGTCTCCCCGGTCATGAACCATTCCTCTAAGCAGTGATCGGGAAGGAATCGTGTCGGGCGGAGCTTCGGGAAGGGGTCCCTTGGGGCTCCGTGCGGCGAGAACGGGCGCCTTCGAGGGTCAACAGAGTCAATCCAGTCTTCTCCTTCGCGGTCCATCGGGGCGGGGAACTCTGGTGAAAGGCGATGGGCTGCCGCCTCATCGCTGCCGGCTGACCGCCACAGCGGCGCAGGAAAGACGGAGAGTTCGAACAGGTAGGTGTGTATCAGCCATATGGACAGCGTCCACAATAAGACTGGCGCCAGGACTCGTGGCGTCAGAAACTGGCGTGCGCGACTCATGGCGAGGGGGACATGGGCGGGAGGTTGCTGAAGGAGGGAATGACTGTACCGGACAGACTGTAAGTAGAAAGGAGCGTGTACGTGTATATGTGCGTGCTGGAAAGTGTTCGAATGCAAGGTCAATCATGGCTCAGATCGCGCTCTGGAGGTGACAGATTCTTTGCGCTCAGACAAAACTGAGTGCTGCGCGGCACAGACTGTTCCGCACTAATGGGCATGTGCCCAGGGTTCTGCGCGAACGCATGGCGCCCTGCAGCCCCTATCTGCAGTGCGGCGCATCGTGAATTGCTGCAGCAGCAGTGTCGCGACAACTGGTCGTGTGCGCAGTGCCATCAAAGCCGCATTCCATCCGAAAGACAGGGAACGCCACTGCGCAGCCTCTTGCTCTATCCCGATTGCTCGGCAGCGTCGGTTCGCCTCCAAGCTGGCGGCCCCTCAGCCTCCCCACTCCGCATCTCCGCGGATCGGATGAGCTGCGTGCGTCGCGTTGGAGCGAGCAGATGCTTCCACCACCTGCACCTGTGATTGTACTGGCAGTGCTTGGTCAGTAGCGTATCAGTAACAAGCGAACGACTGTTCGCCTCGACCGATTACAGCGTATGAGGGAAGGCGTGTGCCTTGGACCGGGAGACGCAGCGAACGTGCCTTGTGCTTGCCATTAACTCCACTTCCATTCGCTGCAAGCAAGCTTTCCGCGCTCAGCAGTAGAAAGTCTGGTCCTGTAAACGCTATCCCGTTGCGTGGGCAGAGGGTACCCACCGTTGATGACAGACCGGGATATGTGTATCATCATGAGCAGCAAGTTTCGAAATGATCGGCAACGTGACATCATTTGGTCCCGTCGCCACGCCCCCACCTGTGGGCCGCTATTGACAACTTACTCTTCGTGATGCTTCCCAACCACGATGGCACCTCCAGAGAAGACGACGTACGTGTCATCGACGGGGCAGCTGACCGCACCCCCTCTAACGAAGCGGATCGCAGATGCAGTGTCCGATCTTGCTGAGGTTGGGTGGCTGTTCATCGACACGCTGTTCACCGTGAGTTCTTTGCTTCTTCCCCCAGACTGACGGCAGCCATTCCTGAACCCCAACTCGACGATTCTCGACCACACGAGCAGCAACAATGGCTCGGCCGCGCGTCCATCAAACACCAACCGCTTCGGAAGCGGTGGTGCCCGTCTGGGAGGCACCGGTCCTCGGGGCGGCGGGAGCGGCAACGGCGGCGGCGGCGGCGGTTTCATGTCCATGGCCGACCTGCGTGGCGGCGACAGTAAGTGTTCCCAGGTGACAATCACTGATTCCAGCCGTCAATGCTTGCAGATCTGCCTGCGGCTAAAGATCGTATTCTCCAGTTGTATGAAAAGGTTGTGTAACATCGTTAAGAAAGTAATGCATCAGCGGCCAGCCGCTGGAGTGCGGGTATCTAAAGTTTGGAAGATAGTCCAAGAGTGCTAATGCAGACCGGAAGTAAAAACGGGCATGGCCTTTATAACACAGAGCCCCAAGGTCGTTAAGCGTTAATCGTTACAGCTTATCCACGCCAGAAAATGGCGCGGCGACGAGCGGGGGCGGTGGCGACAATCTCCTCCTCGGCGCTAGGGGTAGCCTCGGCGCTCTCCTCGGCAGCGGAGGTAGCCTCACCCTCAGGCTTCTGCTCCTCAGCAGAAGTGGGGGCAGCCTCCTCGGAGCCGGTAGGGGTAGCAGAAGGCTCGGACGAGTCAGTGGCCGAAGTAGACGAAGCCTCAGCAGACTCAGCGGCCGACGAGCTCTCAGCAGAGGTAGGCTCGGCAGAGTTGGCGGTGGACGAAGCCTCAGCAGATTCGATAGCAGAAGAGCTCTCGGCGGAGGTGGGCTCGGCTGAGTTGGCGGCAGACGAAGGCTCACCAGACTCGGCAGCAGAAGAAGAGGCCTCGGTGGCACTGGCAGAGGCGGAAGGCTCACCAGACTCTACGGCAGAAGCGCTCTCGGTCGCGGAGGGCTCGGCAGAGTTCACAGCGGACGAAGGAGTGGACGAAGCCTGGGCAGACTGGGCGACAGTGGACTGAGCAGCAGAAGGAGCGGGGGCGGTCTCGTCCTCCTCCTCGCAATCCTCGTCCTCCTCATCGTCCTGCTCCCACTCCTCGTCGTCCTCCTCATCACAGTCCTCGTACTCGTCGTCATCCTCAGCCGCAGGAGGCTGAGCAGCAGCAGCAGACGAGGTGGCCGCAGGAGCAGGGGCAGACTGAGTGGCCTGGTCGACCACACCACCCTGGTTGCCGGAACCGGAGTCGGCAGTGGGGGCAGCGCCAGCAGTCACGGTGACGGTAACGGTGACAACCTCACCGTCGCAAGTGGGCTCGGCGTCGGGGCTAGCGGGAGAGGCGGGGGCGTCGGTAGGGGCAGAAGTGGGGGCAGCAGCGTTGCTGTCATCAGAAGGCGTGGCAGAGTTCTGGCCAGCCTGGTTGTCGCTGCCGCTGGAGCCGCCAGAGCCGCCCTGGTTCTGGTTGTCCTCCTGGTAGACGTTGGCGCTGTGGTTGTCCTTGGCACCAGTGTCAACCGAGCCAGTCGAAGAGGGCTGCGAAGCAGCGGGCTCGTCGTCGTCGATCTCGTCGCACCAGGGGTAGTCGGCGTACTCATCATCCTCGTCATCGTGCTGGGGTTCGGAGGAAGAAGCAGGGGTCGAGGCAGACGAAGAGGTGGCGGCAGGCTCGGCAGACGAGGGGACAGTCGAGGAAGCGGGAGCCTGCGACTGCTGGGCCTCCTCCTCCTCCTCCTCCTCGTCACACTCCTCCTCCTCCTCGGGGGCACTAGAGGCGGAGGGAGTGGGGACCGGAGAGGAGGTCGCGTTACCGGCAGCTCCACCCTCGGGGATAGTAGCGTTGATGGAGTTGTCAGCGACGGTCGAGTTGTCCGAGACAGTCGCGTTCTCGGCAGGGGCGGTCGAGTTGTCGGAAACGGTCGCATTCTCAATAGGAGCAGTCGAGTTGTCAATGACAGTCGTGTTCTCGGTGGGAACGGTCGCGTTCTGAGCGGGGAGGGTAGCGTTCTCGGCAACAGTCGAGTTGTCCGACGCGTCGGCAGAGATCCAGTCGTCACCAGTGACAACAGGTCCCTCAGCCGACTGCGAGCTAGACTGCTCCTCGGAAGAGGTAGCAGAAGCCTCCGAGGAAGCGGCCTCGGTGGAAGTGGCCGACGAAGAGACGGCGCTCTCGGTCGAGGTGGGCTCACCCGAGTAGGGGGCGTCAGACGAAGTAGGCTCGGCCGAGTTGAAGGCAGAAGAAGCCGCGGACACGGCAGAGGGCTCGGCGCTCTCGGTCGCGTTGTCGCGGGCGACGATGCGGCCGAAGCGGCGGGCGTAGCGGCCCTCGGCAGCAGTGGCCTGGGTGGCCGAAGCGAGGGCGGCAAGGAGAGCGAAGGTGGTGGTGAAACGCATTGTGTTGTTCAAGCAGCAAGCTACAATTCAAGATGAGGGGGCGTAGAGATTCAGAGATTCGAGATGAGTAACGACAGTAAAGCGCCAGGCCTGTTTTGTCGCTGTGAGAGGGCGGGGAGAGCGTAAAAGAGTGTGTGCCGCCTGTCGAAGTTGTCGAAGAGGATCAAAAACCCGCAGTCGGGAGTCGGCAGATGGCGGAGAGGGAGGGAGGGAGGAGGAGAGAGGTAAGGAGAGGGAGAATAAAAGAGTGAACTAGGCTATGATGGAGAGAAAGGAAGAGAAATGAGAACGCAGAGGCCCAAAAGACTAGTGTGAGGGGAGGAGCGGGTGGTGTGTGTGTGTGTGTGGTGAGTCTGAGCGCGTTTGGCCCTGTCCGTTGAGCGGCCAGTGTCTGCAGTCTGCGAGAGCGCCCCGTAAGGAGCAACGGGGTGCAACGGGTGGGTGGTCAAGGTGCTGCTCTAGGAAGGTGACGTTACGCGGGATGGGCGAACCGACGTGACACAGGCACCACGCACACTGCGAGAGGGCGCAGAGAGGAAAAGGGGCGCGACGTGTCGCCCATGAGTCGGATGGGACACAGGGACGCGCCTCGGCACATAAGGCACTCTCCTGACCTACCACAGCGCCATGCCTTGGCCGCCAGATGGACAGGTCGCCCAAGCACTACTACGCGCCGAGCCCTCAGGGGCCGGCAGGAATCTCAGGGTTCTCCCAGCGAAAAAAGGTCCAGGAACCCTGGACCCCCTTCCCATTTGGGACACTCGACGTGCTTACCTTGGAACCCCGTCCTGTTCTAAAACGGCGACGGCGACGCTCTAAACCAATGGCGGCCGGCAATGAAACCGCTCGGGCCACCGGCGTGAGTATGGCCGTGGCCGCCGCGCCGTGGGCGTCGCAGTGCGTGGCCATGCGTGGTCGTGCGTGAAAGGACTAAGCACTGCCGAGTCAGGTTTAGGATTACGCCTCAACCCTGTTTTGTCCTGATCATATTCCATGACCCGCCAAGGCTGGCACATCTTGCCTCTCATGGCCTCTCAGCTGCCAATCGCTCAAGGTTACCTCAGAGTGCTAAGCTACTCAGCATCGTCCCCGTCCGCGTTGTCCGGCACCGCCCGCCGAGCGTCAATCGGAATTCACCGCTGCCGCTTCTCTATTGTTCATAACCCGCGGCAACCTGATGACCCTGTCCAGTTATTCCAAGAACCCAGACGCGCCTGCGCAGCCTAGTCACTGCCGCCGAGTTCTATGCTGGGCGCCGGCCACAGTGGTCTATGTCTATGTGCCTGCGAGCTACGTGTTTCCGGCATGTCTGGGGAGCGAGCTCGAAGGCACTCACGCTAAAGCCGGACGCAGCCAGATTCGCGCTGCGCCATGCAATGTCCCATGGCTCGGGCCGCGGTTCAACTGATGAGTAGTCAATGGAGCCAAAAGACGCGCACGCTGCGTTCAGGAACCCACATGAAGCAAACTTGCTTCTTTCTGTGATCACCTTTGCGACCGATCGTGATGTCGACAGACCAATGGAAGGGTACTCCAGTGGTGCGCAGTGGTCCAGATCGCACTTTCCACTGCACTCGAAACACATCTGAATTGGCCCGCGCCTATCCGTTTGTCGGACGGATTAGGCATGCCACCCCGCTGCCACCGCATTCTTTCCACGTGGTGGGCACTGGAAAGGTCTGTGCGGATTGTTGGTGCTCAAGGTGGAGGTCGACTCCGAAACTCGGACAAGTGGACCTTGGTCGCACTGCACAACACAATACTCTCCCATACCGACTTGCCGACACCCCACTTCGGGGCCACATGCGATGGTCCTGCTACGACAGTCCCATCGGTTGTGGCCGGCTCCTCGCCCAATTTCTGCCTTCCGCCGTCAGCCGACCTTCGCCAGCCGGTTCTCCCACCACGATGCGTTCAAGCCCGATCCTCTGGAGCGTTCAACCAGCGATGACAGCGTCTTGCCTCTAGAACCGCCCTCGCCACCTGAGCCTACCCGTTCTGCGAGTTCAGTCGATAGTATTCCAGATTTTCCTGCGCGGGATGAGCGGCCGCCAGAGCAGCGACCATCGGGGTCGCGATCGACGGAGCCCTCAGCGACAGCGTTAGCGGGTAACGTTTCGACACACTCTGCAGTCCTACAAGAGTTGTTGAAGCAGCAGCGGGATCAGTTGCAGAAAGAGAAGGACCTGCAGAAGGAGGAGGAGCAGCTCCAAAAGCAGGCAGAGCGCAAGGTGAAGCCGTTCGATTTGCTTGATCGGAGAAAAGAAGAGGACTCGGGCAGTGCAGTGACATGGGCGGACCCTGTCTCTGTTGCCGAAGCCACTGCCGCAGCAACTGCCACGGCCACGGCTACCGCACCCTCGGCGTCGCTGTCAATGCCGTCCATTTCGACTGAAGAATTCAAGAAGCGCCTTGCGGAGTGGAAGACGGCCCTGGACAAGAAGAGTCGGGAGCTGGCGCAGCAAGCAGATAAGAACTTCTCTTTGCTGGGATTGCGCGTGAACGAAGTTACCGGCTACCGCGAGATCGAGCTGCTGAAGGAGGCTGTCAAGAGCAGAGGTGCGTCACTCACTGCAGACGTCGCGCTGACCCCAGAACGGGAGATCGAGGGTAAGCGTAAGAACGTTCGCGAAGCCAAGGTGGCCTACGAGACGGCCGTTGCGACATTGTCGAAAACGCAGCAAGACGTGCAAGCCTTGCTGGAGCGCAAGCACACCTGGTCGGACCACGACGTCGCGCATTTCACGCAGTTGGTGCGGTCGGATCACGCCTCCAAGAATGCGGTCGAAACGACATCACAACAGTTGAAGGAGGCCGAGCTTGCTGTCGATACGGCGTTCACGGCCTTGATGCAGTCGATTCTCGAGCGGTATCACGAAGAGCAAGTGTGGAGCGATAAGATTCGGAGCGTGTCGACCTGGGCAAGCCTCGTCGTGCTCGGCGCAAACTTGATTGTTTTTGTCGGTGCCATCGCCTTTGTGGAACCGTGGAAGCGCAAGCGACTGGTCGAGGGCCTTGAAGAGCGCATGACAGGTATGATGACAAAGGTCGATAGCCAACTCCAGACGCTATCGGATCGAGTTGGAAGTCTCGAGCCGGTTTCCTCTTCTGTCCTCGCTGCGGCGCCCGTTGCGGCTGTGAATAGCGAGGTGTCACCGAAGGAAGACGGTGTAAATCACATCTCGCCCTCACCGATTCACACCCTCGAACCTCATCTTTCAACTGTGCCATATGGTTCCGAGGCGTTTGCATGGTCTACCGATTCGCTTGACAAGTTGGCGCCACCTTCGGCAGAGCGCGACCTCGCCGCTGCGGCCGCGGTAGGGGCAGTCGCTGGGGCTGTCACGATCAGTTTGATTTCCTTCATTGCATCTCTCATCCGTCATTAATACTACAATGCATTCATACTACTTGGTCATGCCTGCTTCCCGATCCATGACACGCTGGTCGAGCTTCACCAGAATCACCGTGCGCTGCGGGTACTGATCTGTCGACACGGTGTGCGCTGTGACTCGGGCCGGCTAGACGATCAGCAAACGTTCCTGCGCTTGTCACTCACGACGTCGAGCCCGTCCAACACTCCTTCGACAATTCCGGCTGTGAAAGCCTCGCAGCTCAGCTGCGACATGTCTTTCGGGATGGAAATGTGCTGCGTCAGAGGCGGCTGGTTCATCGTAATCATGTCTGGGGTAAGCGGCGAAAACCCTTCAAGCCTACATTCATCCTCGCCCTCAACGCTGCGCTCCAGGCCATCGGCTGGCCGGCCAAAGGCGTACTTGTACACTTGTGTATGCACGAATTGCAGGATAGGAATTAGACGGTGCTCTCTTCGCGGATCCTGCCAGTTAGTCTTGCCGTATAGATAGCGCACACCTTCATGCTAGAGGATTGGGCGTTCCGCAACAGGAGCAGCGCTAGAATCCTGGTCCCGGCCTCATACCCAAGCGCTGTCAACCTGAAGAGTCAACATCTGCGAAGGGCGGAAGCTCACCTCTTCTCCAGGTCAGCCACACTGTCTACTCTAGACTGGCTGTACGCCACGATCTCGGCAAACAGAAAAGACCATGCCGAAAGAGAAACCTCTGCACCTTTTGTCTTGTTCAGCGGGCGCTCCAGTATGTTCGCGCCAGCCGGAGGAAGGAGAGGCTGCTGCTGTCCGAGCCCGCTCTGTGGCCGGGGGGAGCCCCGTGAGTCGATCAAAGAGCGGGGAACCTGGGAGACGGTGCTAGTCGACGTGTTCGTGCTGTAAGAGTACAGGGGCGGGTTTGGCCCGCTGGTGGACGGCGGTCCTGACGACGACATGGTAGATAGGTGAATGAGTGATCGAGGTCGTGACGTTGACGCTATCTCGGTATCGTCCGTCCGTGTATCAATTTGCTTCCGTCCAACCGTAAAGTCAGAATGATACCCGGAAACATGCATGGTTCTATGAAACTAAGATGAACAGGAAGCAGCGAACCGCGAGATGTACTCGCACGCGGCCTTGACAGACTCGAGCGAGACTGCATTATAGAGAGACAGGCGGATGCCGCCGACCGAGCGGTGGCCCTTGATCTGGCGGAAGCCCTGCTTCTCGGCACCATCGAGGAACTCCTTTTCTTTGCCGTCGCCAATGATTTCGAACGTGACATTCATCCAGCTGCGGGCGTCCTTCTCGCGAACGACACACTTGACGGCACCCTTGGCCTCGGCCTCGTCGAGGGTCTTGTACAAAAGCGCGGCCTTCTCGCCATTGGTCTTGGCGAGGCCCTCGATTCCGCCGCGCTCAGCAATAAGGTACTTGAGGACGAGGGCGGAGACATAGATTGGGAAGACGGGGGGCGTGTTGTACAGGCTCTTGTTATCGGCGAGGATCTTGTACTCGCTCTGGATCGGCACGACGGGAATGCCACCAAGCTTCATAGCCTCAGTGGTGTCGACGAGGAGGTCGTTCCGAACAATGACGATAGTGACACCTGATGGGCCGAGGTTCTTTTGAGCACCAGCGTAGATGATGCCATGGCGCTCGATCTGCGGAATGGCACGGGAGATGAAGGAAGATGAGTAATCAGCAACGATCGGAACGTCCTTGGGGACCTTGTCGAAAGGGAAGGCGTACGGCGAGTCGGAACCGGCAGGCGGGAACTCGATGCCGTTGATCGTTTCGTTCTCACAATAGTAGACATATGCAGCGTCAGGCGAGAAGTCGTAGTCCTCGGCTTTGGGAAGGGTGGTAAACTTCTGGGGCTTGGTTGTGGCCGCGAGGCGCACGTCCGCGAAAGGTGGAGCATTCGGGGAGGGGTGAGTAGCGAGACGCTGGGCCTCGGCATACGCTTTAGAGGACCAGGAGCCGGTCACGACATAATCGACCTTGGGGGGCTTGTAGTCGACGTCACCTGCATGTTGGAGGCGGCGGTAGGCGAGCAGATTAAGGAAAACCGAGGCGAACTGGGTTGTACCACCGCCCTGGGCGAAGAGAATCGAGTAGTTGTCGGGAACGCCGAGGAGGGTGCGGAGGTTGGCTGGCGTTAGTCATGACTCCAGGTCGTGAAACGTACCTTCAGCACCCTCGATAATAGTCTTGAACTCTTTCCCACGGTGCGACAGCTCGCAGACACCCATGCCAGTTCCGTCGTAGTTGATCAGACCCTTGGCAGCCTCCTCCAGAACGGGGGTAGGCAGTGGGCTGGGGCCAGCAGCAAAGTTGTGAACCTGCTCGCGAGTGAAGGGCATGGTGGATGGTGAATGGTGTGGAGGCAATCCAACTTTCGGTGCCCACGGTTAATTAAGCCAAGAGGATTTCGGAAAAATCACTCGTCACCTCATCATTGATAATATCGACTCGATTCACTCATCGCACCATGTTCCGGGTGCTCGCCAGCTCCACAATAGGCAGCTTACGTGCGACTCATACACTGCGGCTATCGCACAGCCTTCGACTGTATGCCAGCACCTCCCCGAAATGGTTGACCGATGAAGAAGCCGCGAACGCCAAGCTGCTCGAAGCAGTGAAAAGCCGCGTGGACCAGTTCCAGACCGCGCAGGACGTAAGACGTGCTGTAGGGTGACGGTGCTGACCGTAGACGCCTGGAACGACTGTGCAAGAGCAGAAGGAGCGCTCAAAAGTCATGAAAGATCTCGGCCCCCTGGCGGACGCCTATAGACGGTATGAGAATGTCCGCAGAGTACGTGCTCATTTGTTTTTTCAGCTGACAGTCTAGTCGATCCTGGAAATCGAGCCGCATCTCTCTGATCCAGATGAGACAATTCGAGAAATGTTCGCTGCCGAAAAGGAAGAGTTGCTGGCCAGCTTGGACGAGGCTCTCGAACCACTACCCGAGCTGCTCCTCCCAACGCCTGAAGTGGCCGAGCTTCCAGTGATGATTTCGATCAACGCCGGCGTCGGAGGCTCCGAGTCAGCTCTCTTTGCCATGGAAATGGTCAGAGCCTACACACGTTACGCGAACCAGCGTGGCTGGAAGGTTGAGACGATCAGCGAGACGAAAGGCCCAGACGATATCGGGGTTCGCGAAACCACAGTCAAGATCGAGCCAGCGCCATACAGTGAGGAGAACAACGAGGTGTACGGCAGTTTCCAGTGGGAAAAGGGTGTGCACCGTGTCCAACGAGTTCCTGCGACCGAATCGCAGGGCCGTGTGCATACGAGTACAATCACGGTCATCGTCAATCCTATTTACCCCGACAAGCCGGAGGCGCCGCTCGTGGATCCGAAGGACGTTCGAACAGATGTTATGCGAGCTGGAGGTGCCGGGGGACAGCATGTCAACAAGACAGAGTCTGCGATCCGTTTAACACACTTGCCCACTGGGATCACAGTGTCCATGCAGGACTCTAGAAGCCAGCACCAGAACCGAGCTTGGGCATGGGAAATTCTGCGTGCGCGCCTCAGTGAGAGAAAGCACCAGGAAGAGGTAGAGGCCCGACGAGCCGCTCGTCAGAGCCAGGTCAAGAGCGCGAACCGCAGCGACAAGGTGCGGACGTACAATTTCCCGCAGGACCGCGTCACCGACCACCGCATCGGCCAGAGCTTCAACGGTATTAGAGATATTGTGGAGGGCGAGCGGCTGGAGATCGTCATCGCCGCTTTACGTGAAGATTTCAACAGCCGCCGGTTAGAGAGCATTCTCCAGGGAGAGGGAGACTTAGACGAATAGACGCTATCACATGTAGCATGCATCACTCATTCCTGAGCTCCACTGAGGAATTTCTTGATGGATTGTTGCTTGGCGTCGAAACCGGCCGAGCCAATTCCACCTCGTTGTCTCTTGACTCCCTCCAGGTGAGTCGTCACGTCAAGGGCCATAGTGTCGACTTCCAGCGGAGGTAGAGTAGGCAGCTGGGCGAGTGCGATACGGTGTGGCGACATCTCTCCGATGTACCCTATCTCGTAGCGGTTCCACCCCGTCTGCACATCAGTCGATTGCGAAGACTGTCACTCACATTCGTCATTCCTCTATATGTCCAGTTCTTCTCAATGCCTTCAGGTCGGCGAACCAGCAAAGCGCCCATGAGCTCGTAGTTGAAGATGCCGTGCGCGACAACTACGATATGGTAAGCCGCAGCAGGGTGGCCATAATGCTCCCGGAGTGCAGGCTCTATGTACTTGGCGACTCTAGACGTTAGAAACGCTCGGTAGGATCACTCACGCTTCGTTGGCACGATCGCGCACGTCCTCCAAAGACTCGCCCTCTGGGAACCTGAAGACGCGGCCCGACTCTCTGAAGAAGCCGTTGCCCCGGCTCGTGCCGAACGGCTGACCCTCGGCTTGCGGTCAGCGTGAGCTGATCGGCAGCTCACCTTTGCCAAAGTACTGTTCTCGAAGTCCGGGGTCGGTCTTCAAGGAGGGAGAGCCACTGTTCTGTTTCTGGATCTGCTGACCCTGCGCCCGTTAGCGCTTATATTCAACCACAAGCACCCACCGTCCAGTGCGCACGTTTCAGATCCGACGTGAAAATGGCATCGATAGGCTCGTTCACCAGCGATGCACCCAAAGCTTTGGCTTGCTGAGCATTAGGCTGTGACAGCCAAAGCCACTTACGTTCATTCCTGTCGCGTCAGAGGCCAGGCTTTCAATGGAGCGTACCATGATTTGAAAGAGGAGCATCCGACCATCCAGCCCACACCGGGCGCAAGTTATCTACAGCTTCAGTTGCGATTTCGGGTTGGTCTTACCAGTGGATTCACCGTGTCGCACCTGTCAGGTCAGCTTCAGTACCTCCAGAACACTCACAATTGTCAGCGTAATCATGCTGGGTTGAGAAGGGAGTGGTGCAGAACACTTCACGTCTCGCTCCTAGCGGTTAAGTCACATCCGAGTCGGTCATGGCCGCCTTAACGACAGCACGTGACCAAATAGTCCAAAGACTCCTTCGGCGCTCGGTGCTCTCACTATCTTCAGTGCTCTAGGTGCGTATCGCGCTTCGTTTCTAGTTCTGACTGTAATGGGATGTACACTGTGGAAGTGCTGCGTGACATGCGCGTGGCGCATGTCTGGGTCGCAAAGTAGCGGTGAGTGTCAAAGCGGAGGCTTCAGACGGGGCCGGCTCACAGCGGCGCCGCACTTTCGTTGCAGCGCTTGCCACGCTGTTCGGACCACCCTCGCTTCCCCTACCACTCCGACTCACCTCGCAGCACTATTCCTGCGCACTCCTGCGCGATGTGGCATGGAGGCATTGATGTGCGAGTTGGAACTCATGTCGCCGATCGCCGACGCGCGTCAAGCCACGTTGGTGCCTCCACTTTGAGTTGTCACTTCCGATTTCGTGTTTCCTCAACCTTTCACGTCATGGCAAGCACAACGCACAAGGCTCAAGCCGAAAGGCTCGGTCGGAGCCCGCCTGTGCTGCTGCTATCGACGCTGATACCGATATCACTCACACTCATTGTCCACCCACTGCTGCCAATCTTTTTACCCGAAGACATCACGAACAGGATTCCTCTTCCTCCTCAGCCTGCGATCCCAGCACTGCAAGCGAGCATTGGCTTCGCCCTGCTGGCGTTCGTCGGAGCAATCCTCATAGTCCCTCGGGTAGCGGACGCCTTTCTCAACAGGGGCTTGAAGGGACGCGATTTACTCAAGCCAGGAGGGCGAACATCGGGACCATGGATGTGAGTACAAACATGTAGCGCTTGCTGACACGACAGTCCCGAAAGCCTGGGTCTCCCCTGCGCCTCGCTGTACATAGGGCTCATGATGCTCTTCATTCCGTTTCCGTTCTCGCATCTGTTCCATTCTGCGAACACGTCCAGTGTCGGGCGTGAAGTGTTCCCGCGCGGGGAGGTGAGGCTACACTCTACGGACCTGCACTGACGCGACACAGCTTAACTTGTTTCTGTCATCCCTCTTGTCACTGTTCACTGCAACACTCCTGGGGTTCCTCGATGACCTGTTCGACATCCGCTGGCGGCACAAACTGCCGATTCCCCTGATCGCTGCGATCCCGATGCTGCTCGTGTACTACTCGGAAGGCGGGCTGACATCGGTTGTCCTTCCTGCCAGCGCCGGCAAGCTACTGACGTCGCTGGGCTTGCCAGGCTGGGCAGGAAATATGGTTGTAGATCTTGGTGGGTCATTCAGTCCCTGCGAAGCTAACAACGGAGGCTTCCTCTATTACGTTTATCTGCTTATGCTGCCTACGTTCACGACAAACGCGATCAACATCTTGGCGGGTATCAACGGTGTGGAGACCATGCAGGCTATGCTGATCGCCATGTCTGTTGCCTTGAACGACCTACTCTTTCTGCCGATCTGGTCGACGCGCCTCCTGCGTCTCATTGGCGCCGGTATCCCGGAAGAGGGCAGGTTGCTCGATTGGGCTGCGGGTGAGGTTGTGAAGAGGCATTTGATGAGTCTCTACTTCATGCTTCCTCTTATCGGCGTCTGCGCTGGCTTTCTCTACCACAACTGGTTTCCGGCTCGTGCCTTCCCTGGCGACACGCTCTGTTACTTCACAGGCATGGCCTTTTCTGCTGTTGCCATGCAGGGCCATTTCGCCAAGACGCTCATCCTTTTCTTCATGCCGCAGATCTTCAACTTCGTATTGTCATGCCCCCAGCTGTTCCGCATCGTTCCCTGTCCACGCCACCGTTTGCCACAGTGAGTCCAGGATTTTGAGCAACAGCGTTGACCCAGCAGGTACGATGCGGAAACTGGCCTCCTATCCCCGTCGCTGACCGTATTCGACTCGCCCGCGTCGCTGAAGACACGTATCACATTGCAGCTCCTAGAGCTTCTCGGTCTCACGACACTCCAGCGCGCGCCCGCAGACAAGCACGAAGTCATCGTGTCGGCGACGAACCTCACCCTGATCAACTGGGTCCTTGTTCACTTTGGTCCCATGCGGGAGCAGACTCTGTGTCTGATCATTGGCGCAATCCAACTTTCGAGCACTGCGCTCGCGTTCGCGATTAGATACGGTCTCGGTACGTTAGTATACGGAGGTGACCGCCGCTAGACAGCATATATCTTTATATTCTACATGTATACACTATCAGCTCTGGAATCGCATATTGTAACCACCGCCTGGCTGTTGATCAAACTTGAACATGTCGGTACTCAAGCCAAATTTGCCCAGGAGACCGTTCCCAAGCTCCTTGAGCTTGTCCATCATTTCATTCTTCTCCTTCTCCTGCTGCACGGCAATTCTACTGGGGAGAGACGTGAGCGCCTTCCGAGCGGCAGGCAGCTGGGGCGAATGTGCCGGCAGAACTTTCACGAGCGTCTGATAATCTGCAGCGTCAGTGACAGCTAAACGACAGCGACGTACCCTCCTGCGCCGATGACAATGACGACCACGAACCGATGTTCTCGTTCGCCTGCGCGCGTCGGTGGAACGCTTTCAGATAAGCAGGGTCGATCTCGAGCGCTGTCGTCAGGTGGATTGTACGACAATCACTCACCAGAGTTGCAAGCCTCGACTGCCTGTCTATACTCCTTCTCTGCCAAGTAGACAGCCGCAAGATTGCCCCAAACAGCCTTTGTACATTCACGGACATCTGCTTCCACGTTGTCCCTCTCCGTGTCTTTCGGTTGCAGTCGCTCGGCGTCAATCTGCGCAGCCTCTTCATCTGTTATCTCCGCCAGACCACTCGTCTCCACCTTGGACTTCGTCTTTTCAGGTCGTGGACAACTTGGAAGTGTGTCGATGGCAGCGAGGTAGCTCTTCCGCGCCTCATCTAGCCGTTGCGGGTTGGCAGTAAAGTGCTTGTTGCCGGTGTTTTTCAACGACAGACCGCGCTGGAGGAGATTCTGCATCTGTCAGCTGACTACCATGCTTGAATCCCACCTTTAACTCTTCCGTTGTGAAGCGAAATGTTCCAGGAGCCTCGAGCTCAACTCCTGCTTCCTTCGGCGATCCTGGTCCCGACCACTCGTCAACGTCGTCCTCGCCACCAGCGGGAAAAGCTCCATCCTCTGAGCTAGGCCCCTTCCTCTGATAAGTCTGCTTTGCCCAAGCGGGTGGCTCGAAGTCTCGAGCGTCAAATGACGGGAGGTCGGGAAAGTCGTCCGGCAGGTTGCGAGGCATGGTGTGATGCTGAAGACAGGATGACACCAGAAACGGACATGTTGGGTGGAGGCCGGGCAAATCTCGGAAAAACGATCAGGAATCTATGCGAATGCCCATATTGCATGCAGCGCTATTAAATCTAGAGAGATGCTCTGATAAAGCCCTCGAGACCTCCATTTACCCAGAGTTCCTGAACACTGCGACCCACGCGGGCCGAGGGGTAGTACTTCTCGCCCTCGTCACCCATTGTGACAGTGACACCTCCTCGGCGAGTGTCGACCTTGACCTTCCAGCCCTCCGGGATTACAGTCAGCTCGCCGTTCTTGCCACCCTTTCCTCGCGCGCCTCCCTGAGCAAAGCGCGCAGTGAGGTCCTCGATGAGCTCGGGGGCCTCAACACAAATAAGTCCGTTGTTGATGCTGTTGCGCTTGAAGATGTCGCCGAACGAACCGCAGATAACGAGCGGCATGCCAGCGTTCTTGATCGCAGTAGCGGCCTGCTCACGCGAAGAACCGGTTCCAAAGTTATAGCCAGAGAGAAGTACAGGCGTCGGGGAGTCCTTGCGAAGGCCTCGGATCGTGGCGGCAAAGTCGGGGTCGTAGTTCTCCATGACAACCTCAGCTTGACGCTCAGGGGTGATGTCGTCCTGATAAGTGTACTTGCCGGGGTACATGCCATCGGTCGTCAAGTTGTCCTGGGGGGCGAAGACGAGCTGGCCCTCAAAGTACTCGGGGAATCCCTCCAGCAGAGGCTCGGGTTCAGCACCGGTCTCGGCAGGCTGCACGGGCTGGGCAGGCGTCTCCTCAATCGCGAATCTGGGAACGTCGTACTTGGGAAGCGCGTTGAGATCCAGTGAGTCGGGGCCACAGATGTAGCCCTTAGCTGCCGACGCGGCGACAACGGCGGGCGAGGCGAGGTAGGCAAGAGCATCAGGGGACCCCATGCGTCCCTTGTAATTGCGGTTCGTGGCACTGATACCGACCTCACCCTTCTCGAGAAGGCCGACACCGAGACCGATGCAGGGTCCGCAACCAGCCGGAAGGGTCTTAGCTCCAGCATCGATCAAGGCTTGCCAGTCGCCCGCAGCCTCGGCATCCTGCTGGACGCGGCTGGAAGCAGCGGCAATGTAAAACTCAACACCGGGAGCAATCTTCTTGCCACGGAGAACATCAGCTGCGGCAGCGATGTCAGACGCTCGCGAGTTCGTGCAAGAGACAAGGTACGCCTTGTTGATCTTGACTGGCTCCTCGAGGAACTTGGGGAGAGCCGTGGCGACTTTGACCGAGTTAGGGCCCGAGATGTGGGGAACGAGCGTGGAGAGGTCCAGCGACAAACGCGATGCGTAGTGAGCGCCGGGATCGGCGGAAAGCTGCTCCTGCAAGCTCTTCTGCAGGCGGCTTTCGTTCATGCGGGGGTGAACATCAGTGTTCTGAGTTGACGGAATTGAAGGTGACGAAAACTTGCGAAGTTCGGCCTTGCGGATTTGGCCGCGGTACCAGTCGATGAGTTTCTCGTCGACAGGGAAGACACCAGCGACAGCGCCCCACTCGGTCGTCATATTGGCGATTGTCAGACGCTCATCGATAGCAAGGTGCTTGATGCCGTCTCCAGTGAATTCAATGGCGGCGTTCAGAACCTGGTCCTCATTGAAGAGTCCCGCGAGCGCGACAATGACGTCCTTACCGGTGACACCCTGCGGCAGCTTGCCATCAAGCGAGACCGAAATGACGCGAGGAATCTGCCACCAGAACTTGCCGGTCGCCCAGATACCGCTGCATGTTAGATATGCTCTACCGGAAGGAAACTCACGCGGCATCGGTACGCACAATGGCGGTACCGAGGCATCCGACACCTCCGTAGTGGTTGCTGTGACTGTCACTGGCAACGACCATCTTGCCGGGCCAGGCGTAGCCCTCCTCCACGACAATCTGGTGGCCAATACCACGACCGGCGGGGTAAAAGTCGACACCATGCTCCTTGGCAAACGCCTCGATCCTCTTATACTTCTTGATGTTGGTCTCAGACTTGTTTTGAACGTCGTGGTCAAGAGCGTACACTGGCTGACGCGGGTTATCGAGCTTGGAGCAGTCGAGCGAGAGGAACTTGGAGATGACGGGACCAGTGTTGTCGTGCGTCATGCTACCGATCAGCCTCGACATTTGCCTCACACATACACATGCTCTGGGCGAATCATGACATAGTCGCCCGACCTAACCTTGGTGCCAGCGGGGAGGTCGACCGCATATTTTTGCACAATCTTCTCGACGAGCGTCTGGGGAGTCGATGTCGTCGCGTAGGTGCGCGCAAAGTGGGGCAGTCTCCGCCTGGCGGCAAGCTGGAGCATGAACATGGCGTTTGTTGAGCTTTTGATTGAGAAATAGCTACACCACGGTTGGCTCTTTTATTTCGGTCGATCGGTCGAAAGACGGACGTTATCCGAGTCGATCGGAATCTCGGCTGTTTTGTCACGTGAATGCCATGCGTGTTACTTGACAATCCGACAACCGGGCATGGCTTGCCAGAATCCAGTAGTGTGCATGCGCAGGGATTACCGTTTCACAGGGAGTAAGCTCACCACACGATGTCGGTCGAGATGTAGGATGGGGAGGCGGGACTCCATGGAATTGGCTGCGCTACCCTCGCAAGTCGCAGCTATCCTCAGTCTTACCTCTCCTCGCGATCCTCGCACAGCTTTTCACTCTCTCTGCATCCGTGAGTGCATCCTCTGCAACAGTTCAGTGTCGAGGAGCCGTCGCCGCCCAGATTGAATGACTCCCACGTGAAAAGTTCAGTCAGTTTTCCGGGCGCCCTCTCGTCACTCTCCTTCATTCAGAGCATTCAGAGTTTCACAGCCGCATCCAGTAGTGCCGGTGCATCACACCAGTTAACTGGTGTGAGTGATGCATTGCGGGTATGGAGAACTGGTAGACAAAGTCGAGGTGAGAGCCAGCCCAACATTGGTGGCCACCTTCCGTGCCTCGCCTGTCGATCAGGGTTGAGTCCGCGCGCGTCGTGCCCTTAGACTGGGGTACTCCCGTGCACATGTCCCGTTGTAAGTTCAGTTCCTCTCCTCTTCCACATCACAATTTTCCTGCCGACTTGTGTTGCCTCTCCCCAACACACGCACACACAATGCGGCAGTTTAAGAGTCTCTCTCCGAGAGGCCGCGTCGCTGCTGTCGCAGGCGGGTTTGTCGCCCTCATCGTGCTTCTGCACGTCCTCTTCCCAAGCTCGCTTTCCACGACACGGCGATGGACGACCGCCTCGTCATCCGTCCTCCGCTCGACCTTCCTGAGGGGCAAGGCGAACGCACCCCATCCTCCGATCCAGCATCCAATTCCTAAGCTGATGGCCGACGCCCAGGAGGCGTTTGAACGCAAGGTCAAGAGTCAGTCGAAGACCCTCCGCGAGGCCGTGGCCGAGTACCGCCGCCGATACAAGCGCGACCCGCCCAAAGGATTCGACGACTGGTGGGAGTTTGCCAAGGAGCACAAGGCTATCATGGTCGATGAGTATGACCAGTTAGTCAACGACCTCGAGCCCTTTTGGCGCTTCACCGGTGCCGAGATCAGGCAGCGTTGCATTGATGTCGGTTACCTTCCTTCCGTCGACTTGGTGCGCATTGAGAATGGCACGACCCGACTCATCGATGTCTCAAAGGGTTTCGTCGATTCAGAGGTCGGCGCTCGCGCTGTTGGTTTTAGCACGATGCTCGCAAAGTTCCAGAACAAGTTGCCGAACATGGACTTCCCCATCAATGAGAAGGCCGAGGGTCGTATTCTTGTTCCGTGGGAGGAGCAGCGATATCACAACTTGACTGCCGACACTTCCAGTGAGCCTGCCTATGCGGAGTTGTGAGCTGACGTTTCCAGAAGGAATCAAGCACGTTCTCGGAGGTGACTTCATCCCCGACTGGCGCGCCGACGGCAGCGTTTGGGAAGCATACCGCAGGACCTGCGACCCTACGTCCCAGGCTCGACGACTCTTTAGCTCGCTGCACGCCCATTTGAAGGAGAGCCAAGTTCCTATTTCGCGTCTAGCTAAGGCTGGCGTATCCACAGATGTTGTGGACGACGACTTCATTTTCGCCAAGGATGTCGACGACAAGTTTGACTTTTGCGACCGCCCATGGGCTCACTACAATCAAGGTCACTTCTTTTCTGACTGGCGCACTATCCACGCTCTTTATCCAATGTTCTCGCCCGCCAAGGGATCAGGGTTCGGCGACATCTTGATTCCCAGTCATTATTACTACTTCCCGACGAAGCTGTACGCTTACGGTTGGTGGTGGTTACACGAGCCCAAGGACGTCGATGACATGGAAGTGCCCTGGGAAGAAAAGTCTGACGACATCTTTTGGCGCGGTGCAACTACCGGAGGTGGTTCTTCGCCCCCGGGCTACCTCCCTCAGTACCAGCGCCATCGCCTGATCAAGATGGCATCGGACCATTCCAACACCAACAAGACAATCGTTTTCGCGGACCCGCCCGGCACCGACAACTTCATTTCGGCTCCCGTTCCCCTCGCTGAACTTAACAAAGAGATTATGGACGTGGCGTTCACCAGGGCTGTCGGATGCGTGCAGTACCCTGGCGGCTGCGACCGCATGCGCAAGGATCACCGCTTCGCCGACGCCGTTCCACTGGGTGAGAACTGGAGCCACAAGTACCTAATCGACCTTGATGGCATGGGCTACTCTGCTCGTTTCCCTGCCCTACTCAAGTCAAAGAGCGCCGTCATGAAGACAACAGTCTACACCGAGTACATGTCCGAGTGGATCCAGCCGTGGCTTCACTACATCCCGGTGTCCCAAGCGTACAATGAGATTTACAACATCTACGCCTACTTCTCTGGCGCCACGCCGTCCATGCTGAACGCGGCGAATGCCACAAGAGATCAGTTCCAGTCGGCGGGACACCACACCCACAAGCTCGACACTGACGCTGAGCTTCGCAAGATTGCCGAAGCCGGTCGCGAATGGATGTTTAAAATCGGCCGCAAACTCGACATGGAGATCTATCTCTACAGGCTCTGCCTTGAGTGGGCTCGTCTTAATGCCGACGACCGTGAGGCCATGAGTTACAAGGGCTAAACCTTACGGGACACTTACACATACACTCTCCTTATAGACAAGACCAGCTATGAATTCTGTAACATCTAGCTCTTTGCACGGAACTATCCCGACGTGGGGCCCCGGTCCCAAATGTCACTTTCGAATCCTCACAAATAACAGCTTTTGTCACGAACACACTCTCCAGCATCTAACATCATGGCTGCAGTTCCGACCAGTGCCACAACTTCTAGTCTACCTAAGCCAAAGGGAACCGTCGGCAACCAGCCGCCCGCCGGCGCTGGGGAGGAAGGCGACGATGAGGACGACGTGCGCCTCGACGTTGCGTTCATCCAAGGCTTTGCAAGGTATGCTGTGACTACAGGCTATGCTAATAGCTTCAGCAAAATTCAGCTCGCTCCATCTGAGATTGTCGATGGGGCAGAGGTCCAACGGCCAAAAATCACCATTCCGAAGCGGGGTGAGAAAGATTTCGAGCCCTTACAGGAAACTGTCAACCTGCAGGAAATGATGCTGCAAAATAGTCGCCAAGCCCTCTTCGATGCGCTCCAAGGAGTGCGCGGAATGTCTTCGTGCGTGGCTCACGATGCCTTTCACTAACTGTTCCTCAGCAAGTCTCTCTCACACGCGATCATCACACCTCAATCTCCATACCCCCGGCTGGTCGTTGCTCGTGGCCATGTTCTCGACACAATGGGCATCTCCGTCCGTTCGACCTGTGGCGGTGGCGGCAAGACCGCCGCTCGGGTTCACTTGCTACCTGAGGAAGCAATCTATCTTACGGAGAGAGGATCGCTTCAAATCTGGAACGGTCGTGCCCCGGCCAATGCTCGCGAGGAGGAGGAGGAGGGCATCGGAGCCTGGAGTGACGAAGAGTTCGGCATCAAGGGAGCCGTAGAAATGAGCGTTATGGAGGTGTACGGCGCTTTCATGGGAATGGACGGCTTGACATGGCAACGGTATCAGGTAAGCTTCGCAGTGTTATCCGAGTGCTGACTACGAGGCCTTTGCATACCTGCGGAGATTGGGCTACACCGTCCAGCGAGTGAGGCGCTTCATTCCCTCTTACTTCCTGACGCCGGAATATTCGCTGTCAAAACCTCCTGGGGGCTCTTTGGGACTTTCTGTCCGGACGGCTGGTGCAGCTTTGGCGCGTATCGCCCGAACAGTATTCGACGGCGCCCTTTTCCCCGTCCACCTTGTGACTCGCATCGGGCTCGCGCTCGCACGGCCGCTTGTAACCACTGGCCTTCATAATTGGCATGGCCAGACTTACTGTGAGTAGTCCGCTGTGAAAATGCTCACGCTTAGTTTCGCTATTCACTTCCCTTCGTTGCATTCCAGCAGGTCATCAGAACCCAGTACCCCTGCGGCCAGTGTTTGAGGAGGCCTCCGTATACGACAGCCTCGTCCGTAACCCTTACCTTCCGTTCTATCACGTATGGAAGCCCGCAACAACGTGGAGTAAGAACAGCTGGGACAAGGGTAGTGCAGAGGGGCTTTATCGACAGAAGCCCGAGTATACCGTGGCAGTAGTAGAGTGAGTCCGAGCTTCGTGTGTGGTGCTCATTTCGCAGATCTCGTGATACTCCGTTCCCTACCCTGGGGCAGCTCGACGAAGTCTTCAACATACTTCCTGATGAGCCGACTGGCCCCGCCAATCGCGTCGGACCCCAGTACAACAAGCCGAATACGCAACCGCGTCCCGCAGACGGCCAGCATCGCTCTTTCTTCCAGCGGGTGCTGGTGTCATTAGGGCTGCAACCTGCACCATCCAAGCGTAATCCGAACCCGATGGGCGTGCTCCGCAACGGTGACCGCGCCCTTGTGGTCGCTGTGAATGACTGTGGCAACACCGGTTGGATTAGATTTGGGAGGTCCGGATTCGAGAGCATTTCCATGGTGTGATGAGCGTTGACATTGTGTACATATGCAGCTATGTTACAAAACAGACCTTCTTCACCACGCAAGTTCCGCATTAAACCGGTCCAGCTGGGCGTTCGCCGCTGTCACCTCCTTCTGACGCGCTGTGCGACGATAGAAAATAGGACAATCCGCTGAGGTGCAAATGACGTCCTGCAGTTAGCAAAACAAACTCCTCGAAACCCTTCACCTGATGCAAAGACCCTTGGCAGCGCTGGCACTGCGTCCACAGCCGGGCAAAGTCGACCTGCAGCTCCGATGCCAGGTCCACCTGCTTCTGGTACAGCTCGGGCAGATTCGGACGGCAGTTCACGCACACAGCGCTCTCTGCGATCGCATCAGTCAGGTTCTCCCGTACGGAAACGCACCCTTCGAGCCCTTCAATGGGGTTCGGCAACCAAGACACGTCGCTGTCTTCACCGCAAACTTCATGAGACCGCCGACGGTCGGCGTGGCAATCTGGATGCTGCGAGTGTGTTCACCGGACACTGCCGTCAGTTCAACGTTTTCAACCTCTGGGTCCTTGCTCGCAACGCACACAAACTGTTAGCTCGAGAGCCCAGAATGGGTTCGAAGATTCGCATCAGCGGCTTCGACAGCTGGTTCTCCAGGTAGTAACGGGTGTCGATAGGAACGTTGTTCTCCAAGACGTAGAGAGGGTCTTCGGACTTTTCGTATGCGGCCGCACCCTTGATACCTTTGACAATCACATACGCCACACGGTCTCCCAGCGCAGGAGCGGAACCGGCATCTCTTTTCTTCATCCTCTCTGCAAGCTCGACGTGAGCCTGCTTGCCGGCGTAATCTGCTGTCAGCCCCGTAACTACGCGGGTTACAAACCGAGCTTGGCCAGCGCCTTAGTGATGACGAGTTGAGACATATCAATTTTGTTTTGGAGAAGATCGGCGATCGTTTGCTTCACATATCTGCAAGTCAGCTCAGCCCCGCCCTCAACTCACTCTTCAGCTCCCTTGACATCTCGGTCGATAAGCATCTTGTAGAGGCACGTTTCGATCATCGTTGACACCAAACGACAGTTGTCTCGGCGAACGGTCTGTGACTGTTAGCTTTGCCGACCAGCACGCTCACCTCGATACCCTTCGTGTCCATCTTATCGTACTTGTCCGGTCTAGTCCAGTAGAGACCTGCGTACCTCTTTTTGCTGATGAGCAGATAAGGAAAGTACACCTTCTCGAATTCCAGTTTGATTGGCTTTTTGAACTTGGCGGAAACGAGGTCGGCGGCCTCCGCTCCCAAGCGCATGGCTGTCGGCAAATCCGGGCAGCCAAACTTCACCATGACCGAATCAGTGTCACCGTAAATGACTTGAGCGTCGTGGTCGTAACCGTTTTGGATTGAGTACTGGGCCTCGACCTCGCGCTTAGTCATGTCAATCATCTGGCGTCCGTATGCGGTCACAGAGGTTGAGATGGCCAAACAGGGAAGCTTTCCAATGGTGGCACCAGTGAAGCCATACACAGAGTTGGCACTGATCTGTTTTGGTCAGCGTATTTCCAGGCCGGCCGCATACCTTCAGAGCAAGCTGACGTCCGTCCAGAACAGCGCGTTTGAACGGATCTTTCTCCACCTTGAGATCGGCCTTGGCTCGTTTACGTGCACCAAGGAGATTCTCCAAGACATGCGGCAACAACCCTTTCCTTCGCTTTTCGGTCATGAAGAAGTCTCGTCGTCAGCTCGCGTCTCGCCAGTCTCAACTCTACTCACCGTTGTTTGGAGTCTGGACATAGTCCTCGTTTTCGACGAGACCCAAACGCTGAATTGTTGCCTTGTCCACGAGCGTGGTGTAGCATAGATTGTGCGCCATCATAATGGACGGGTATAGCGAAGCGAAATCGAGTGTCGCAATAGGCGTGTCGTAATAACCCTTAGAGGGCTCAATGACGGTGGCACCTTCGTACTGCTCGTCCGTGCCCTCACTACGCATAGCGGGAATCAGATAGCCTTTGTCCTTTGCGTTCCGGTATAGTTGCGAGATGACACGAATCTGCTGGCCACGGGTCAATACGTCGTTGAACGGGATACCAGTGACTCGCGCCAGTTCGGTGTAGTTGACGAGGCACATGAGACGGTCGAGAAGTCGCTGAGGCAGATAGGCATCCTTGGCTGTCAGTATTGCCTCATCCTCGCACGCCCACCTTCAAACAGTAAACAGCAAGACGACGGCGCGAATCGGCGGTGCCATTTTGAAGCTCGGTGATGATGGAGTGGTGAACATCTTCCTTTTGTTCCCCCAGAAACTGAGCACAAACAGCGTTCAGCGTGTAACTTCGAAGCTTGTAATCGCGCTGAATGACTTGCAGGATATCCATTTGTAGGCGACCATCCAGATTGACTGCTTTGGAGTCACGCTGACCAAAGGCTTTCGAAGAGAAATGGGTGTCTTTTACCTCAGAGCGAACACCTGATACGTCAGGATACGAAGAGACTGCCACTTACCTTCCAGACGTCCAAGGTACGAGAAGTCGGGGATTTTCAGTGCCTTTGCACGGTCGAGCAGGTACGGCAGATCGAAGTTGGATATGTTGTAGCCGATCACGAGATCGGGGTCCACCTCCTGCACAAAGTCTCGCCACGCCAACAAGAGCTGTCGCTCGTCCATGAACTGCTTCACTTGCGCTCCAACAATGTGGGCACATGTATTGAGAGTGAACACGTTGCGGACAAAAGGCTTCTTCTCTCCGTGTCGCATTACCATCGCAGCGATTTGGATGACAGGATCGATGTTGGCTTCGGGGAAAATACCCTTGCGACCTGCACACTCAATATCAAAACTGAGGACTCGGAGTGGCGCAATCGTCAACCAGTCACCTTCGGGCGCATGCGAAACGAGATCCGAGTAGCTATTGTTGTCAGCGCAGAGCGCGGCAAATATTGACGCACTGCATAGTGAACTCCAACTGGCAGCGCGAGCGCTTCTCTGATCCTCGGAGTACTGAGTACTTTCCAGCCGGAACTTCGACCCAGTTCATACCGACAAGCTGCACGTCAGCGGCGGCATCCAACACTCTCGTACCTTGGTGTCGATCATGAAGCGAAGAGGAAACTGAATGTTGCTTTCGTACGTCATCGTCTCCTGGTTGAACGAGTCCTTGAATGCGACTTGACCCCGTTCGAAAAGGCGTACTCAGACGTCAGTGCACACCAGAAGCTGGAGACCTATCTTTGACTTTGGGGAGCGCTTTTGGCTCAGTGCACACAATCTTGATAAACGGGACGTTGTCATCGCCTCTGTATCCCCAGAGCGACTTCCGATTCGCGATCTCACAGTCGGCAACGGCAAGGCTGCCAGTCTGTAGCGCCGACTGCATTGGTCAGCGCCGTTATCAACTCTCGCACCAACGTTCAGTGTATCTTTGAGAGGCGTCAAGTCGGATTGGAGAAATCCACTAGGGGCAGCAACATAGAAGTAAGGACGAAATCCGTGGACATGGGCCAGCATCGAGTTGCCACCCTTCGTTACACCAAACAATCTCAATGTCGGTCCAAATTGAGGGAGCGATGACTCTGCAACTTCGATCTGCTGGAAAACTTCAGGTCAGCAAGTCTTTACGAGGCTGTATACTCACCCAGAGTGTCTGTTGCAGGGTTGACCTTGGGCAGCGGCGGTCGCGGCCAGGCATCGTCCGTCTCTATCGAGTCTTCTGTCAGCGGTCTGAGTACGTGTGTCAACCTACCTCCTTGATCATTCTCGGCCTCTAGAAGATCTTGGAAGTCACTCGGGTAGCTGTCTTCACCCGCGCCTCCATCCACTTTTCTCCTCTTCGCAGACGGTTCTTGGACCTGAACCATGACGTGTGTGTTATGGTAGTCTTGGCGAAGATGTTGCTCGCACCAACACAAATCAACTACGCGCAAGTGGAGGCCGCAACAGGTGACGCGACTTGCTATTACGTAACTGAGCCCACGTGCCAGCCCTCGCTTCAGAAGCAAAGTTAGTTCCGTGGTCGGGAGTTGATATTCACCGGTAAAGCTCGCCATCACTATCTCTGCTCACTACTGTTGGTCGTCCGCGCAGGGCGTATCATGCACTGAGATAGCCCAATCCGCTTCGCTGTGTGTGGTCACCAGTACGTTTGCGTAAGTGCTGGATGCAGGCGTGATTTTGTCATCGGGCGCGCTGTTGGCCTCGTAATATTTGCACCTCTAGGGTTAGTCGCCACGTGGATGGTGTACCGGTAACAAGCTTTGCCGATCAACCCCGTTACAGTTCAATTAAAACAAGACACCGCGACTCCGAGACCCACCTCTTTGAACAACACTTTCCTCATCCTCGCCGCTGCCATGCTCGTCAAGTCTGGACTTGTCCGTAACGCCTTCCGCCTTCCTCGAGCTGCCACCGCTCACGGTCGCACTGCTCAGCGCGCTTACTCGACGCCGGCGGATGCGAAGGGCATCAACTTTGCCCTCAGTGACGAGCAGGCTGCCATCCACGAGCTGGCCCAGAACTTTTCTCGCGAGAAGATTGTCCCTGTTGCCGCCGAGTACGACCGCACCATGGAGTACCCTTGGCCCATTCTCAAGGAGGCTCACGAACTTGGCCTCATGAACACCCATGTCCCGGAGTCCTGTGGTGGCCCTGGACTTGGCGTTCTCGATGAAGTCCTCATCCAGGAGTCCATTGCTTTCGGCTGCTCTGGTATCGGAACTGCTATCGCTGCTAACGGTCTCGGACAGACCCCTGTGATCATCGCCGGATCGGACGCTCTGAAGAAGAAGTACCTGGGCCGCATGACTGAGGAATGCATGGTCGCCTCATACGCCGTTACGGAGCCCGGTGCCGGTTCGGACGTTGCTGCCATTAAGACCAAGGCTGAGAAGCAGGGTGACAAGTGGGTCATCAACGGTACCAAGATGTGGATCACCAACTCTGGCCACGCCAACTGGTTCTTCGTTCTTGCCGTCACCGATCCCTCCGCCCCCGTCAACAAGCGCATGACTGGTTTCGTTGTGGAGGCCGACACCCCCGGCGTTGCCCCCGGAAAGAAGGAGATCAACATGGGCCAGCGCTGCTCCGATACCCGCATGGTCAACTTCCAAGATGTTGTCGTTTCCGAGGAGAACATCGTTGGTAAGCCCGGAGAGGGCTTCAAGATCGCCATGGGCGTCTTCGATGTCAGCCGCCCCGTCGTCGCCGCTGGAGCTGTGGGTCTTGCCCAGCGTGCCCTCGAGGAGGCCACCAAGTACGCTCAGGAGCGTCAGACCATGGGCAAGCCCATCATCAACCACCAGGGCGTCGGCTTCATGTTGGCCGACATGGCCCTCAATGTCGAGGCCTCTCGTGGACTGACGTGGCGCGGCGCTTGGGTCCGTGACCAGGGAGAGCGCAACAGTGTGTATCCCGATGAAGAGCAAGAGCTGACCTGGGTAGCCTACGTCGCTTCGCTTGCCAAACTCATGGCTAGCAAGGCCGCCGTTGAGAACGCGAGCCTCGGTATCCAAGGTACGTTCAAGTTTTGCGCTTTCGCTGACATCAGTCTTCGGAGGCATTGGCTTCAACACAGAGACCCCGATGGAGAAGCTCTTCCGTGACTCCAAGATTTTCGAGCTCTGTGAGTTTATACGGCGCGCAAAAGTCACTGACAGTCACAGACGAGGGTACCTCGCAGATTCAGCGCCTCATCATCTCCCGCCACCTCCCCACCATGTACCCCGCTTGAATAATCCATGAACATTGCATGATGAAAGCCTTGTGAATATACTACCAGGTTACGCTGCACGGTGTATCTTTGAGTTGAGGCTTGGCCGAATATTGAGCCATTAAGCGCCGTCACGTGCGTTGGCGCCTTAAAGTCGCAGTGTGAGCTGAAACGCCTCACCGCAGTCCCAATTTGCCTCAGTGAGGTGAGGCATATCAGCGTGCCTGACAGGCACTATCAGCCAATTGCGGCTAGAGATGGCGCCGCCCCTCTTGCCATCGGTATCTCCCCAAGCCAGCATGCATCTATTTATAATGGGCAGCGCGAGGTTGAGACGGTTATCGCCATCCCCCCCTTCACGATTCAGCATGCTGTCGCTCCTCGCTACTGCCCTGGCTGCCTCTATGGCGACCGCCCACTTCACCCTGGATTACCCCGAGACTCGCGGGTTTGATGAAGACAAGGAGACGCAGTTTTGCGGCGGCTTCGCCACGGCTGCCACGCGCCAGCCGTTCCCACTCAAGGGCCCCGTCTGGATCAATAACCACCACAAGAAGGCCACTGTCGATGCCTTCGTCTCTTTGAGCACCGATCCCCAGAGCTTTGACGACTTCAACAAGACCTCGAACGGGACAAGCATTCCTCATCTTACCGACTTTTTCCAAGTCTCTGAGGGCGAGGCCTGCTGGAACATTGACTTCACCTCGTTGGGTTTGGACCTGAAAAACGGCTCGGAGGTGACGCTCCAGGTCCGCTTCAGTGGGGTGAGTGCAGTCACCCCGACCTCTCTAACCTCGTAGGGCGACGGAGCGCTGTACCAGTGCTCTGATCTCATCCTTCTCTCAGACTACCAGGTCCCGGCAAATGAAACCTGCAACAACGACGCAGCTGCAGGCGCCCAGAGCAATACCTCAGAAACCGGTGCCGGTCACGACGACAACTCCCACGCCTCCAGCTCCGCGGCCCCTAGCGCGACAGCGAGTCAGCAAGGCGGAGCCTCTCCTATCCTGGCTCGTTCGGGGGCGTTAGTCGTCGTCGCTATTGCTTTCGCGGCTCTTTTCTAACCACCCTATCGTCGATTACGAATAGCTTGTGCCCAATGCCCAGCATCGCTACTCTATCCCTTCTTCACAGCAATCTCCCCGTCCAGCTCTTTGTCATTCCACACTGTACACTACAAGTCCAGTATGCAGAACGCACAGAATGTATCGATTGAGTACTCACTCTGTCGCCACGTCCGCGTACCCACTCTGAGAGATGGGGCACTTGGCAGTTCAAACCGGCGACGGGGACGATGAATGAGAGTGGAAGGGCACCCGCGGGCAAGTTGGAAGCGTGCCCACGAAAACACCATCGTGCATAGATACAGCACTTGTGCGAGAGCCTCACTATGCTGAAATCATGTCCTTTCTTGGTAGCCTTAGAAAAGCGCCGATAAAGAACGTCAGAATTCGTCAGCTGATGTCTTAGGACGTGAGGAAAGCCGCAACAGGGCGATGAACGTAAGTCCTCGACTTGGATCTGCGAGTGAGGCACCTCGACAGGTCTTGTCATGCACCGTACCGGCGCCTGACCAACTCGACCTGCATCCACCCATGCGTGCGCCTACGCCTACGTGAATGCCAGCGTATACGGCAACGCTAGCGCTACCGTTCACGTCTACACCCACATTCCACAACTCCACCATTCCACAACCCATGTTGCCGCTATAGCGATCGTACACGTTACCGTGCACGCCAGCAGACACATTCACCTCACCGCGTCCGTCAATATATACAGACACACTACCACCCACACATTTGCCACTTGTTGTCAGGGCCGATGGCCCCTCCCGACAGGTATAGAAGAGTTCCGTTGTAGATGTCCTCTGCGCGGATCTAATTATCTGCGGTATGCCACACGTCTGCAGTCCCCACTGCAAAAACCACCTAGCCCATCACCTATCACCACCCCGAGGTTCGACCCAGCTCACTTCAAGCCAACATCTCTGTAACAACCATCGTTACTCTCGGATAGCGTCTATTTTTTGGCGTCACGTGATTGCCTCTCATCTTGTACTTTGCTTCCGTACCATCTCACGCTAGATACTTATCGCACGCTCGATCTGGTTTGTACTCCTTGAATTATGCCATTCTTGTCCGTCGTGGCTATGAGCTCTTACTTTGACTTACCCCATTGAACCCTTCGACTAGAAAGAGTCGGTGGCGTAGTGTCCTCTGGACAGTCTCGCTCTTGCTCTAATGGCAGCCTCAGCAGAAATCACTTGGCGGCATGGGAATACCGCAAGATCTTGATGCGCTCGACACGTTTGGAGAGTCGTCTAGCTTTGGCACAGCATCCTCGGTCCAATGCGCATCATGGCTTGAGGGCGCGAGGGGTCAGAGCTGACCTCTCCCAGATCCAATGTTTCCCACGGTCGCTCCCCAGCGTGCCCTCGAGGAGGCCACCAAGTACGCTCAGGAGCGTCAGACCATGGGCAAGCCCAAGAAGTCTCGTCGTCA